AGGCTTATTAAAGAGGATTTTAGGTATAAATATCTGAAAACTATAGCTAAAGAGAATAGCATATATATTAGAGGGGAATTTAGTGAATCTCTCGGTATGAATTTTTTCAGTCCCTTTCAGCCTGAAAGGGAGTTCAAAGTGTACAAATCATGTAAATGTTCACAAATTATATGCAGTAGAGTACATTAATATAGTCTGTTCCCTAGACTATCCATTTCAACTTCAAATTTTTTAAAGCTGTTAAATAAACTTTACAATGAATTAGGTGAAAAAAACATCATTTGATTTATAGTTATAACAGAAAATCATCGTTTGTAAAGTGAAAGGTATAGGTTCTATGTGAAATGATCATTGGTCAATTATGAAACCAGCCTATTTCATAATTTGCTTTTCTTTTAATTTTAAATTAGATTTTCTATAAAATGATATTCCAGGGCCCAAAAGGTTATATAGCACAAATATGTGAAGTACACCTACAGTATGGAAACAGTACAACAAAATGGCTGTTTTACACTTTTTTCTGGTAAATTCCCCTCTAATATATATTCTATTCTCTTTGATTCTAGCAGATAAAAGAGTAACCTATAGTTAGTATGTATAAATATCTGAAAACTATTCTTTTAATGGAATTGCAAACGATCGTTTAACGATCGCTTGTAAAAACGATTAACCTTGGCCTGCATAAATGAAAAAGACAATGAAAAACCTGGCGAGTTCAGTGAAAACTTTATTATTTAATTCATTAGACCAGAATAGGTTTTAGATTAGCGGGTTTTAATGAAAATTGTTTTATACCAAAAAACAGCTTTTTATTAAGAAATGCCTCTTCATCAAAGTTTGGGTGGAAAATTTGATTAACAAATTTGATAAAGCTTTGGTGCAAATTTAATATCTGATTTAATTAAATGTTAAAATTAGTAGCTTCCTATACTTTCTTTCTTTATTTTTTTTCTATATTTCTATTTTACATTTTTCTTTCTTTCTTTCTTTCTTTCTTATTTTTCTTTTGTTACTTCTTTTTTTTATTTCTTTCTTTCTTTCTTTCTTTCTTTTTCTTTCTTTCTTTATTTCTTTCCTTATTTCTTTCCTTTTTTTCTTTCTTCCTTTCTTTCTTTCTTTTTTCTTTCTTTCTTTCTTTCTTTCTTTCTTTCTTTCTTTCTTTCTTTCTTTCTTTCTTTTTTCTTTCTTTCTTTCTTTCTTTCTTCTTTTCATTCTTACTTTCTTTTTTTTTTTTTTACTTCTATTTTCATTATTTTTTTCTTTTTATTTAAGAGACCAGATTTTCTGAATAGCAACATAGAGTTGAACCGGTTTGGTTGAATCATTTCACACAAGGTAAGTGGTTCAGCTATGTAAACGCGGTTCAGCTATGTCTACTCGGTTCAGCTATGTCTACGTGGTTTAGCTATGTCTACGCAGTTCAGCTATGTCTACGCAGTTCAGATATGTCTATGCGGTTCAGCTATGTCTACGCGGTTCAGCTATGTCTACTCGGTTCAACTATGTCTACTCGGTTCAACTATGTCTACTCGGTTCAACGATGTCTACTCGGTTCAACTATGTCTACGCGGTTCAGCTATGTCTACGCGGTTCAGCTATGTCTATGCGGTTCAACTATGTCTACTCGGTTCAGCTATGTCTACTCGGTTTAGCTATGTCTACGCGGTTCAACTATGTATAGCTGTTCATTAAATTTTGTTTTAGATATGAATCATACATTTCACTCTATAAATAAAACAACGTTCTCTGAAGATCAGGGTTGCAACTCTCTCAAAATTCCATTTAAAAATACCTAGAAGAAAATGAATATAATTTGCAATAATTTATTCAAATATCACATGTTAACCATGATCAAATGCTTGGCTAAAGTCTCAAAAGACTTTTATCTACATTGAGTATTTGTGGTTTCAGGTCGATCCCTAGCTGGGGTTTTCTGAAAACTAGAACACGTGTCAAACAGAGCACATGTTCAGTGAAACTCGGGAATACCACGTGTTTAGTAGTAGGTCTCCTGTTCCACCCATCCTCCTGGACGTATACGCAGGATGTACTTCCTGACCTCGTCAAATACAAAGATGAGGATGGAGAAGGGTACGGCGATGAACCACCAGTTGATCTTGAGAGGGTACATCTTTAATCCCTTGTCCATACCGGGGGTGTAGGACAAGAACGCTGCTAGTAAGGTCTCAAACACCAACCCAAAGTTCATGATCCAGTTCTTCATACCCTGCAATTCAAATAGAAATAGTTTTTGTTTTTGTTTTGCGACAAAAATGATAATCGTAGCTCAGATCTTTAGAACAAACAAATAAGATATTCTGATTCTTTCTAGAGTCAATGGCAATTCCAAAGTTATGACTTTCTTAATGAGAGCTTTGATAATGTAAACTTAAATTCAATGAAAATAGGTTCGTATCCGATTCACAACGATACTCTGTAAACCTTTATCTGATCAATAATTTGGAGTAAATCGTACTTTTTCTATCCTGTAAAGTGTTTAATTCTAATCATTTCTTCCAATTGTTTGGCAGGAAAAATGCGCAAGTCACTTTTTTAGAGAAACCATACAATTGAAAACCATTAACTTTAAAGAGATAAGCCTGCATAACTCATCCATTCATGGTCAGTAAAAACTCTATCAAGGGTATCATTGTGACTCGGAAAAACCACTCTATAAATGGAGCGTCACTTGAAATTACAACTTCAGTTCCTTGAAGAAGTAACAGATATTTCCTTTCTGTTACTTTTACAAATAAAAAACAGTGATTATTTAACCCAAGAAAAAAAAACGATAAAAAAAAGAAAAAAAACTGTTTTTTAAAAGTTTTGATTTTGTTCTAACCTGCTGGAAAACTGAAAGTTTCCTAGTTTTACAAATGATGAGGTCAGCCCACTGAACAACAACAATAGAAACAAAGAAACCAGTATGGCAGGTGTATTCAAGAATCTTCCTATCCCTGAAAATAAAAATCTTTAAAACCTTGTTCTTAAATTATAAATGTGGTCGGATGGTTAATGATGAGATCAAAGAGAATGTTTCATGTTTCCAGGGGGATTGGTTTTCCAAGAGATTGCAATGACCTGGATTTCAATGGAAACCTAGCTAGATTGCCAGGTTTAATTAAATTCTTGAATTATAATACCTATAGGTCCATTCTTGACCGTAGGAATCTGTAAGATCATTAATTGCCTTGGCATCCCAAGATCTTCTTAGACCAAACAAGTAAGAAGGCAAAAATCCATTTTCTGAAAAAATAATCATCATTATTACTTTTGTTGTACATTAATATAGAAATAAAATGTTTACCTGCTAGTATAACAAAGTATGTAAAGAATCCAGCAGCAGCTTGGATCATTCCTATCATACCATATGCAACAGAAATTAATCTTTCATTGACAAGTTTGTCAGTAAAGGGGTTTCTTGGCATTCTTTTCATAATATCTGATTCAGCCTCTTCGTAAGCCATTGAGATGGCCGGGATCATGTCTGTTCCAAGATCAATACACAGGATTGTAACTGTTCCAAGGGGTAGAGGAATATCAGCACAGATAAACAGGAGGAAAGGAGTGATTTCAGGAATATTGGACGTCAACGTGTAGGCAATGGATTTCTTCAAGTTATCAAAAATCAGTCTACCTTCTTCAACACCAGTAACAATGGAGGCAAAGTTGTCATCAAGTAAGATCATGTCAGCTGCCTGCTTGGAAACATCAGACCCAGCAATACCCATGGCTACACCAATATCAGCCTTCTTTAGCGCAGGAGAGTCATTAACACCGTCACCTGTGACGGCAACAATGGCACCAAGACGTTGACAGCCCTCCACAATAATCAGTTTCTGCTGGGGTGAGGTTCTAGCAAATACAATTTCACTATGGTACTTTAAAATATCATCAAGGGCATCAGAATCCAGTTCTTTTAGTTCACCACCATGGACAACAGCAGCATTTGCATCTCGGGGATTTACTTCTGATACAGGTATGTTTAGTCTTGCAGCAATGTCATCAACAGTCTCATTTCCCTCAGAAATAATACCAACAGACTTGGCAATAGCTTTAGCTGTGATTGGATGGTCTCCTGTAACCATGATAACCTTTACACCAGCAGCTCGGCATTTACTGACCGCATCTGGAACAGCTGCTCTTGGAGGATCAATCATGGACATAATACCAACGAATCTTAATCCATCAACGGGGAAGTTAATATCATCAGCATCAAAAGGATAACCATCAGGAAACTTTTCTTTGTCCAGACGATAGTCACAAAATCCTAGAACTCTCTCTCCAAGCCCTCCAAGCTCCATGTATGCAGATGTAAATCTGTCCTTCCATTCCTGAGTTAATTCTAGATCTTTTCCGTCCACAGATATGGTAGAGCTTCGATCTAGAATTCTTTCAGGGGCTCCTTTCATAACCAAGAGGTATCTTGGGTCATTATCATCCGTTTCATGAATAGAAACTTGGAACTTATTGGTAGAATTAAAGGGAACCTCACATACTTTCTTGTTCTTCCTCCTAAAGTCCAAAACATTTCCATGGGATAGTTCTGTGCACTTCAGAAGTGCAGTCTCAGATGCATCACCATTTGCTTCTCTCTTAAGAATTGGAACTTGTTCTTGGCCAGGTTTAAACTCAGCTCTGTTACAGAGCATAGCAACACGTTCCAAAGCTTTCCAGCCTTGGCCATTCTTGTTAAAGCTCTTTCCAGATTGATCTTCAGAGGTGTCAGCCTCCACAATTTGGTTGTCAAACCACATGTGGGCAACTGTCATTCTATTTTGTGTTAAGGTTCCAGTCTTATCAGAACAAATTGTCGATGTTGATCCAAGTGTCTCAACGGCTTCAAGATTCTTCACCAAACAGTTCTTAGATGCCATTCTTTTTGCAGTTAGAGTCAAGCAGACAGTTACTGTTGCAAGAAGACCTTCAGGTACATTAGCTACAATGATACCAATCAGGAAAATAACTGCATCAAGCCAATGATATCCCAGAATAAATGCAATAATAAAGAAGGTGACTCCCAGAAAAACAGCCACTCCTGTGATCAGATTGATAAAATGATGAATCTCCTTGGCAATAGGTGTATCTCCGGTATCTAGTCCAGACGCTAGACCAGCAATACGACCCATAACAGTGTAGTCCCCACAGCTGATAACACATCCCTTGCATGTTCCCTCAACTGCATTGGTTGAGAAGAATGCAAGGTTCTTAGTCTCCAGAGGGTTCTCATGAGTGAATTCAGGAGACCTAGCTTGAGGTTCAGATTCTCCAGTAAGGGAGGAGTTATCAACCTAAACCATTTTATCAAATTTAATTAGATTTAAAACTTATTTATTTTTGAACAAGTGGGTCACTTTTTGTACCTTAAAAGAGCGAGCTTCAAGAACCCTTATATCTGCTGGAACCCTGTCTCCGAACTTGATCTCCACAATATCTCCAACAACAAGCTCCTCTGCTTTAATGGTAACTTTATCTCCGTCCCTGAATTTTTAATCAAGTTTGCAAAATGTCACACAATCTTTTATTTATAGTTTCTCTCACAGTGCTGTAGCTTGGAAAAATTAAATTTGCCAGGTCGAGAGTAAAACAAAAAACTCTTATTTTGAGCTCGCATTTTGAATAAATAAGAGGCAAACTTGAGATGTTAAAGCTTTTCTAAAGTTAAGTGGTTCAGAGTGAAAAAAGAAAATAAAATACAATTTATTTTTCTTTTCTTTAAACAATCTCTCTTCCAACAGTGAAGAGTTAAAGAGGAAAACTTTTAATTTTATTTGATGAAATGTTTTCAACATTTTTCCTTTTTCTTTAGAAGTCAAACTTCTAAACAGAATATTTTAACAGCGCTAAGGATCAGGATCAGTTCACAGCATTTTTTTTAGCTTTCTACAAACCTGGATCCGGGCCCTAATTAAGGCTTGAAAGTTAAAATGGATCGGTAATGTAATCAATTATATTAAAAGCTTTTAAAGGCTTTTGAAGGAAGCAAAACAGGATTTTCAATCAATTCCTTTAAACCATGTGAACTATGAATTGACAGGGAAAGCAAAAAATGAACAATTGGACCCATTCACTGAAGAATAGGAAGACGACATTTAAGCAATTTCAAGTTTATATAATGTTGTAAAAATGCAAATCGTTGCACCTGTAACTTGAAATAAACTCAGATAGTATAATGGGTCTGTGAACACTGCACAATTTATGTGTTTCATGTAAATTGAACTCTTTTAAAATTATAAATTGAGTTTAACAGTCGTCTTCCTTTTCCACAGTTTTATGAGTTCCACTGTATTTGTTTATATATATATATGTATATTTATGAAAAGAAAGAAGAAAGGATCATATAACAATATTTTATCCTAAAGTTTCAGTGAAAAGGAAAACTATTGCACAAGTTTAAGTACCAAATAAACTCTTGGATCCCAACAAACTTGGTTAAGCCCTTACTATTGTCTTCTTCCATACAATGCTAACATTTTAAACTATTTTTATAGAATTTTCAAGTTTTACTACTTGGACAAATTTTAAAATGCTTTTGAGTTCATTTTTAGAAATATTTAAAATTCCTTGATTTTAAAATGTTTTTGCCAAATAAAAAGTAAATTTATTGACCTGTATGCCAGGGCATACTGGGGAACTAGATTGGCAAAGGATTCCATAATTGATGAAGATTTAGACTCCTGATAATATGAGAAAACACCTAAAATTAGAAAATATTATAAAACGGCACAGTGATCTGAAGGCTGCAAGCTCTCACCCAAAAATGCATGAGAATTTAGCCAACTACTTCCTAAAAAACTAACGCTAAATGCAAGATTTTTTAAAGCTTAAAATGTACATGTCTAGGGCTACACAAAAGTATAAGTAAGTTAGTTAGATAATATTAAAGGCCATGGTGTTGCGACACTTCTAAATTGAACCATTCTTGATAATTGAATCAACTTTTTATAGCAGTCTGGATGTTTATGAAATTTATTTTTCAAATAATGTTTGAGTTGTACCAAGGATGTAATGCAAGGAAAGTTAATTGTGGTCGTGTATACTCTGCGTACATATTGAAACCAGTTCTCTTTGAATAGAATAGATGCATCAGTGTTCGTTTAGTATCCGAGGAGGTTTAAAGCATTAAGTTTTGATAAATTTGATAATTAACATAATAGTTTCCTTTGACCAGAATATTTCATTGATTTTTTTATGTGAAAAATGGATCCCATGTCAGGCTGTAACATCCGTTTTGTGTTTACATTACCGCCCAGAGACAGTACACTGCAGTACAAAAGAAATAACTTTCCTTGCATTACATCCTTGAGTTGTACAATGTACAATTTACTGACCAGTAATAACAACAACAGTGGTGAGTACAATGCCCAAGTACAGGTTATCATCAGGAGGTTCTTCCAGGGTCAGCGCCTAGACAACATTTTTAAAAATAAATATTGCGACTGAGAAAAATATATAGGCAAAAAAAAAACAATTTCAGTACTTACTGAAAGATAAAGAAATCAATATAGGAATAATGGATAAAATTTGAAAATAATAAAATGACTAAAATAATATGGGGTCTATAAATGAAAAGAAACATACAAGGATTAAGGACTGAGAACTAAAAGGTGTTTTACATATGAAAACTTAAAAACAATCCTTGAAAGACAAAAACAACAAATGTTTGGTTTTCCTTTAATGAGAGAAGATTTTCTCGTAAACTCAGAAAGACTTCATCTTTAAAAGTATTGAATAAAAAATTTCAGATCATGACTAATATTATTCTTCGTACCATAACAGATATCCTAGCTATCGTGGTAGATATTCTACATATTATGGTAGATATTATAAATATTATGATAGACATAATTCTAGATAGCATGGTAGATATTACATATATCATGGTAGATATTATAAATATTATGGTAGATATAATTCTAGATAGCATGGTAGATATTCTATATATCATGGTAGATATTATAAATATTATGGTAGATATAATTCTAGATATCATGGTAGATATTTTAGATAGCATGGCAAATATTCTAGATATCATGGTAGATATTCTTGATAACATGGTAGATATTAAAGATAGCATGGTAGATATTCTAGATAGTATGGTAGATATTCTAGATAGCATGGTAGATATTCTAGATAGTATGGTAGATATTCTAGATATCATCATGGTAGAGTCGCCAAGAGACCTTTAACTTAATGGCATCCATTAATACGTAATGAACCACAGTCATGCCAGCCTGCCTGGGGAAACAAAGGGGAATTTTACAATAAAGATTTATCTTTAAAACAGGGAGAAATGAGAAATAAGAAATTATTTTACAGAAAAGATGACAACTGACATTACCTGGATCGTATATGCTACAAAGCAAAGGATTGCTCCCAGCCAGAGGAGCAGAGCAAATCCACCAAACAGACATTTCATAAACTTGATCCATTCTGGGGTCTTCGGAGGAGGGGTCAGAGCATTTAATCCATCCCTCTCAAGATTAGCTTTGGCCTTAGCTGTTGTTAAACCTCGGTCGGGATCAGTCGTGTATCTCCTAAAACAAAACAAAAAATGCTTAATCTGAGCTGAAAACTTTAGAATTGTGGATTTGAGATTAATGCTTGATCTCCTCTTCTTGTTAATCTTCAGATTATTATAAACTATATCCACTAAACGAGTGTACAAAAAAGAGAGGATTAAGACAATCATAAGTTTCCACAGTGGATATTCACATTAAGCGATCGGGATTAAAGGTATCCAATTATAAAGTTTTCAGCTCTGTTTATTTCAGACAAGCTTTTTTGTCTATAATTGACTTTTGCCGATGCGTTTGTATCCAATAAAAATAAAATGGCTGAACAGATCGGGCACAAATTTTGTGGAGACCTAACATGACCCCAGGGAAGGTTTTTGAATGCTCCGAATTGTCTACAAAATTTTTTTATTTTTTGGTAAAATTTAAAAAATCCAAAAAATGTGTAAATTTGCAAATATTGAAAGATTGAACAACAACTAGAAGATGGACGCAAAGCGCCCTGATAGACTAGTATAGAATATTAAACTTTCTTTAATTCAATTATAGATATTTTTTTTGAAAATACTTCAAAACTTTGCAAATATTAAAATAATAATGAAAAAAGTTTGGATGGATGAATTGAATAAGTTTACGTTAAATGCTGTGAAGAAACAGTTACCCCTCAAATAATAAACTTCAGAGACAACTTCTGTCTTCAGTTTATTTTCTTATATAATATTATAAAAATTTCAGGTGATTAAAATCTCATCCGCAACGGTGTACTGTGTACTGTGTATTGTGTACTTTGAAGTGAACTGTGTACTGTGTACTGTGTACTGTGTACTGTGTATTGTGTACTGTGTACTGTGTACTGTGTACTGTGTACTGTGTACTGTGTACTGTGTACTGTGTACTGTATACTGTGTACTGTGTACTGTGTACTGTGTACTGTGTACTGTGTACTGTGTACTGTGCACTGTACATACGTACTGTACTCTACTGCACATAATTTGTGAACATTTACATGATTTGTACACTTTGAACTCCCTTTCAGGCTAAAAGGGACTGAAAAAATTCATACCGAGGGATTCTTTAAATTCCTCTCTAATATATATTCTATTCTCTATGGGTGCAGTACTACACAAAGATATCTTCTAATAATGGATGTTCCCCCACTTTAAGAAACATTATCTTTTCTAAATCTCTCAACCAACATTGGCAAAAAGCGCAATTACATGTTTTCCGCCCCCCCCCCTGGTTTTATCGGAAATTGGTATCAATTGTAATTAAAAAGAGAAAGACACTTTAGACTATAAAGTTTTGTAAAAAAGAATTGTAATCAGTCTATCTCGTGTTTATATAATGTATATATAACAATAACAATAAATCTGATAATCCATTGATTACATGAAACTTGAGATTACTCAATAATATATATCTATAGTTCTCTAGAGTGTATATACAGATATATCTTCCTTACTTTCCAAACTTATATTATGAATATATTAAATATATATAGATAGATAGATACATCAACTTTTCCAATCTAACAATACTATACAAATATAGGATCTAATAAAGTTTAAGCAAGTGAGAGAATTGCACCTGATTTTTTTAAAGGGAGTGTTCACGAAAAATGAAAGGGGGTATAGGCTTAATGCGATTAAAAAGGGCTTTTGATTGCTACTAATCTTACTTCTATCTGTTGCGTCTATAAAGAGAAATACTTCATATGTTTGGTGCTAAAGTGCGCAGCAACGAAGCAAGGGTTACCCACAACGGATAAGACTGTAAAGACGACCTAAAACTCTAAAGATATGAGAATTTCAAGGTTGAAAGACGGCTTCTGCCTTGAAAAACTATTTTAATGACTTTAACTTATTTTGGAAACAAGTTCTCAAACTGCAGTGAATCAATAATTATTGAAAACAGACAGTGTAAATACCGTAGAGTTTTCTTTCAATTCTTATCCTTTCGCAGAGATATAGACAACTCAGAAGCTTAGTCATTAACTTTGTAGACAGACTCAACTTTACAGTGTCGCAACGCCTTGGCATTTTAAAAATTACATAAACATTTTAAAAATGCAACGCGCTTGTTTGTGTCTAGAGTTTATACGGAGTAATTCGCAAAATAATGCTCGATTTTTGTGTGCTCATCTTGGTTTGTAGTGCTTTGTGGTTAACCATGCGGATATTTTTAAAACTTTACTGATCTACAACAGGTCTTTCTGTATATCGTTATATATATTAAAATATATGCACTTATTACTATATTAGATAGAAAAATGCTGTTAGATTCAAGATAGGATTTTAAATACTAAAATTAGACATTATTTTATTTTAAAAATACTTCTAAAACACTGTATAAGTATTTTTTGGATGAATAACTGTGGTATCTGGGAACCACAAAACCGTGCAATAAACTGGTATCTAAAATCTACACTTAATGAGATTTATACAAGTACTTAAACCTGTTTCTATCTATCATTTGTGTAACCTGTTGACATTGCAGATCGCGCTATTGACCAGAGTGACCGTCAGGGTGAGTTGTTCCCCAGGTCTAATTTTTCTTCTTCATTAGTTAGATATATATTAGTAGATACCATTTATACCATTTAGAACTTCTGGGAGGTTGGAAAATGTAGCGAATAAATGGTTTGAACAAATTTAATTTAAAAATAATTTCTTCTATCAAAATGATAGAAATCCATAAGAAATGTGGGAAATTTTGGATAAAAATCCGCGAAAATTTTCAAAACAGTACACAAAATGACGAACTGTTTGCATAAAACATGTGCAGTTTGTCTCACACAATATGGTAAAACTCGACTAAAATTCAAAAGATTACTCCTGCTACTCCTGGAACCAGTGGCCAACTATCCTAATGTTATTTGCAACAACTGTCACAGAAACCTCTATGATCTTGACAAGAACAAGGTGGAATACCTGGGAAACTGGATAGAGAAAATATCAAAGGTAAATATAAGTTGTTTTTTCAAGTATAAGCACAATTAGATGCTTTATAAGTTGGGGCTAAATTTGAAATAGCCGGTATAATCAGCATCTATATTTAATATATGAGGAAATGAAATAATAATCTCTGTATGGTTATGTCCGATCATAACTCAGGAACCCCTCAATTAATTTGCCTCAAATTTTGATTGGGGAACTCTGTAGAACCATAGGAATGTCTTTTTGTGGTTTAATTATTTAAAGTTAAGTGGGTTGACTTTAATTTCCAGTCAAAGAAAGGTTCCAAGCTAGTTTTATATATAACTATATATTTAACTAACTTGAGAATCCATCTATAGAGTTTTCCAAATAAAAATCAACCCACTCAACTAAAAAAATTTCTAAACCAAGCTAAGAAAATTCCCGTGGTTCAAGCGAGTTTCCCAATTCAAATTTGAGTCAAATTGGACCAGGGGTTTATGAGTTATGATCGGACATACAAACAAACAAACAAACAGATAGACAAACAGTGATTATTCTATTTTATATATATATACATAGATGACGTTTCTCTTCTGTTTATAAATCAATCTTTCTTCGAGTATTTAAAGTCAAAGTATAAGTACTATTTACTAACTATAATTGTAAACTAAAAAAATTTATTTACTGTGATAAAAAAATATTGGATGTCATTAAAATACTTTATATGTTTAGATTGACAGATCCATGGTCTTAGAAGATCCTCAAATATAAATCTGAAAGACGAAGAATTGGCTTCATCTAATGTATCTTTTCCTAAACCTGTAAAGTCTTCAAGATTATGTTCAACTTGTTGTTCTATTGCTCAGTTTATGGCCTTTGTTTGAGAGCTGGTTGAGCTCAAATTACATAATGTTCAGAAGTTATCAAGGTGTAGGATTAGATGGAAATAATGTTAGTAACTTTCTAAAACTGACAGACAAGCTTAAAGATGATTTAAAAAACGATAAAAAGTACAACCTATTGCCAATTGTTCACTGTCTGAAAAAGTTTCAAAAACATCAAGCAGAAACCTTTGGTATGGTAGTTGGAGAAAATGTGGAAACTGCTGTTCAAGAGTTCAAACAATCTTATAAAGATTTGATCGAATATGTTCAAAATACATTTGATGGTGTTGAGCTGAGTGTCACCTGGAAAGTTCATATAGCTGTATGTCATATATTACCATTTCTTCAATCAACAGAACATGGCCTAGAAGTTTACTGTGAACAAACAGGAGAAGCTATTCATCATGGAAAAACATGGAACAGATACAAACGAAGAGTCAATCATGAAGATTATGCAAAACGGTTAAAATCCAGTGTTGTTGAATTTGCAGCACATAATATTAATTAAATGTAGTAATTAAAAATGTAAATATTTCATGTTGATTAGTTTCAGAATAGTAACTTATCTTATACATGTTTCGTATTTTTAAGTTTAAAAGAACATTTAACGTTTATGATATGTTATATAGCTTATAAATACACTATTATCATTAATTCTATAGAGAAATTTCGTGGATTTTTAATTTCCAAAAAATCTTAAAATTTCCAACCTCCCAGAAGTTCTAAATGGTATAAATGGTATCTACTAATATATATCTAACTAATGAAGAAGAAAAATTAGACCTGGGGAACAACTCACCCTGACGGTCACTCTGGTCAATAGTGTCTTGCTCCATACCCTGTTTTTGGCCCCCTTCCCCTTCCCTGCTTCCTCGCCTCTAATTGTTCCCCCTTTTCCTGCTCCCTTCCCTATTCTTGGTCCCCCTTCCCTCCTCCCTCAACTATTCTTTTAGGCCTTTCCCTCTGCTCCCTCCACTATTCTTAGTCCCCATACATTTCGTATTATCCATTCCCTGTAAAATTTGTATGTATTTTTGTCTAGCCATCACGGATATAGGAATTTCTTTAATCCGTCAGCTGACATTAGTTTTTTTTTATATTTTTCCAACAAATAATATCGCATGTTAGAAATATATTTACAATTTCAACAAAGTTAGATAATTTCCACAATTGACTAACATATTTTTTATGGAATGTTTAAGTTCAATTTGAAAAATAACCGTTCGCATAATGTCTACATATGGCAAGTGATGATTTCTGGAATTCTTTTTTAAAGAATTTTTCTAATTGGCCAAATTTGATAGGAATGGGTTCAAAAAAGAATTAATATTATCCCAATATCTAAGTAACATAGGCTCTATTGAAGTGGATAAACATTGTACAATGTACAGTATAAATACATGTTATCTCTCGAACAAGACAGTTATGTAATTATAATTATCTAACAGCCAAGCGGTAAGAGAGCTTTTAAATGTACTAGATAATAGATTTATGAGTACTAAGCTAACAGAGAAAATCTATAAATTTGGCTGGTTTGTTTGTCTATTGGTTTTGTAATAATTCACATTATTACGTTTATGGGCCCGGGGAGTCAAAATTAAAGAGTTTGTCAGAATTTCTAAAAATTTGAAAATCCATGATGAAAACCGGCCAAAACTTTACGAAATTTTATGGCGTTATTATTTTAGTAAAATATACACGCCCCACCGACGTACATTTGAATATCTGAGCTGGGCCAACCTTTGCGTCCTACTTTGGACTGTACCGCCAATTTACAATTAATAAAGGGGTAGGAGGAGTGTGTAAGAAACATTGAAAAGCTAAAGTTAAGCGCCATGCATGGAATAAAATAGAATGAAGAATATTAAGTTCTGAACTACAATGGGCCCCGGTGTAAAAGGAAGACGATATTTAACTACAATGGGCCCCGGTGTAAAAGGAAGACGATATTTAACTACAATGGGCCCCGGTGTAAAAGGAAGACGATATTTAACTACAATGGGCCCGGTGTAAAAGGAAGACGATATTTAAGCAATTTTTACAATTTTATACAATTGCTGTGTATCATGGTTACTGAAGTATTAAAAATCAGAACTTCAGTATAAATGTCGTCTTTCCAATCCACAACATTTTTGGGTCTGACAGTATTACCTGTAAAGTTCTTCTACTGGTATTTTATGATCATCGACCTCGAGTTCCTTCTTCAAGTTGTCAAGATTTCGTTCTAAACAAAATAAAAATAAAAAATATGTCATTCTTTAAAAAAAATCTAAAAAATACAAAACGAAAAAAAATACTATTTATCGTTCAATTCTAAAGGTTGCAGTTAGAAGTAACTTGTAGCTATAAATATACCAGTAATCTCTGTTTGACCGATCATAACTCATAAAACCCCTGACCGTTTTGCCTCAAATTTTAATCACGAAACTTGGTAGAACCACAAAAAGGGTTTAAACCTGGCTTAAAAGTTCTATATTATGTAATTAGACTAATAAAGAGAAAGACTAGTTTTCTGGCAGAGCTGGGTTACCAACCTAGTTTTATGTAAATGTTTAATAACAACAACAAAAACAACAACAAAAACAACAAAAACAACAACAAAAACAACAACAAAAACAACAACAAAAACAACAAAAACAACAAAAACAACAACAATAACAACAACAACAGTAACAAAAGTATGCATGCCCATTCTATTTTATATGATAAAGTTAGTTCTCAATATTTTATCTTGTTTCGAGAAATATGAATAACGGTTTTATGATTTTTTTATCAAATACATTGGAACCCATAAAGCCATTGTACAGGGAAACTATTAGACTAAGACCCATATCACTAAATAAGTTGATTTTCATGGCAGTTGGTATAATCCTTTTTGCAGCACACCAAATACACATAGTATTGCTTGAATGTCGTCTTTATATTCTCAATGTAGTTGTGCTACTATATATTTTCTCCCGTTTAAAGATGTTTTTATTTTGAATAGAAATAGATTCTAAAAAGTGTAGAAATGTATTTATAAAGATCTTTATTGCTGGCTGACGTCACAGCTGACGTGACGTCAGAGTAGGAGAAAGCAAACATAAAGAAAAGGATGGATGGGGGAGGGGGGGGTTGATAGCTTTTATAATTAATTTTAAAATAGTTGAATTTTACAAAAGAAAGAATGATGAATTATTGCTAAAAGTGTAATGTTGAATGATAATTTTTGGAAAATATTTTTGTTATTTTCTTGATTTCCGATATTTTCCTAATATTGGAAATATTTCATGGATAATAAGAATTATTTTAGAGACTTCTTTACTCCCTCCACTGTTCTTGGTCCCCTTATCCCTGCACCCTACCCTGTTCTTGGTCACCTTATCCCTGAACCCAACACTGTTCTTGGTTTCCTTATCCCTGCTCCCTCCCCTGTTCTTGGATTCCTTTTCACTGCTCCCTCCCCTGTTCTTGGTCACCTTATCCTTGCTCCATACCCTGTTTTTGGCCCCCTTCCCCTTCCCTGCTTCCTCGCCTCTAATTGTTCCCCCTTTTCCTGCTCCCTTCCCTATTCTTGGTCACCCTTCCCTCCTCCCTCAATTATTCTTTTAGGCCTTTCCCTCTGCTCCCTCCACTATTCTTAGTCCCCCTTTTCGGGCTTCCTTCACTATTCTTGGTCCCCCTTCCCTGCTCCCTCAACTATTCTTTTAGGCCTTTCCCTCTGCTCCCTCCACTATTCTTGGTCCCCCTTTTCCTGCTCCCTTCACTATTCTTAGTCCCTCTTTTCCTGCTCCCTTCACTATTCTTGGTCACCCTTCCCTCCTCCCTCAACTATTCTTTTAGGCCTTTCCCTCTGCTCTCTCCACTTTTATTTGACTCCCTAATATTTGTTTCTTCCCGATCCTTTGCTCCCGCCACTATTCTTGGTTTCTCCTTTTCTGCTCCTATCACTATTCATGCTCCCTCCCCAGTTCTTGGTCCCTTTATCACTGCTCCCTCCCATGTTCTTGGTCCGCTTATCCCTGTCCCCTTCCATGTTCTTGGTTGCCAAATCCCTGCTCCCTCCCATGTTCTTGGTCACCTTATCTCTGCTCCCTACCATGTTCTTGGTTCCCATATCCCTGCTTCCTCCCCTGTTCTTGGTCCATTTATCCCTGCTCCCTACCATGTTCTTGGTTCCCATCATCCCTGCTTCCTCCCCAGTTCTTGGTCCCCTTATCCCTGCTCTCTACCATGTTCTTGGTTCCCTTATCCCTGATCCCTACCATGTTCTTGGTCCCTTTATCCTTGCTCCCTCCCCTGTTCTTAGTCCCCCTTATCTCTGCTTTCTTCACTATTCATGTTCACCCTTATCTCTGCTCCCTCCACTATTCTTGGTCCCCCTTTTCCTGCTTCCTTCGCTATTCTTGGTCCCTCTATTCTGCTCCCTCCACTATTCTTGGTCCCCCTATTCTGCTCCCTCCACTATTCTTGGTCCCCCTATTCTGCTCCCTCCACTATTCTTGGTCCCCCTTTTCTGCTCCCTCCACTATTCTTGGTCCCCCTATTCTGCTCCCTCCACTATTCTTGGTCCCCCTTTTCTGCTCCCTCCACTTTTCTTTGACCCCCTTATATTTGTTTCTCCCGATCCTCTTACTTCCATTGATCTCTCTCATTTTCTTTAATCACTTCCTTTTCTTCAATCACCTCCATTTCCTTTGACAACTGTCTTCAACTGTCTTCAACTGTCTTCAACTGTCTTCAACTGTCTTCAACTGTCTTCAACTGTCTTCAACTGCCTTCAACTGTCTTTAACGGTCTTTTTTCAGAAAGTTTTAAATATTTAAAATATCAGGGAGAATGTTCTTCATCTTATCTATCTTTGAACATATTTTTTGTTCTTATACTTTCCATGTTTCCATAATACTTACTATATCTGATCTATATCCATCTATCAATGTATACTTTTCTCAACTATTTGTTTACTTTCATCAATTTCTAACTTTTTTATTTAATCAAGCACTGATAGAAAACAGTCTAGTTAAATAGACAGATAGATGGATAGAGAGTATGGTAAAAAGATAGACAGACAGACATGCAGGCAGATAGATAGATAGATAGAAAGAGTCATTAACTTTTTTCTAAAGTATATAAAACGTTGAATTCTGTTATTTTACTATTTGGGAACCAAATACCTTTTATAGTTCTCCTTCTAACCCTGCGAACCATAAATCCTGAAAACCACTAAAACCTATTTTGACAGTTTCGTGGTCTCAGCAATTTTATCAAAGGAGGATATTTTGAATCAATTCTCTTCCATGTGGATTCCTAGTTCCTATATAATGTCAGCCTCTATCATTTTATTCTTCTATGGTCCGGCAACTTCAACAACCCAAGGAAATATGTCCTAGTTCCTATATAATGTCAGCCTCTATCATTTTATTCTTCTATGGTCCGGCAACTTCAACAACCCAAGGAAATATGTCCTTATAGTTCCTATATCATGTCAACCTCTATCATTTTATTCTTCTATGGCCCGGCAACTTCAACAATCAAAGAAAAAAGTGTAAAACGGCCATTTTGTTGTACTGTTTCCATACTGCAGGTGTACTTCACATATTTGTGCTATATAACCTGTTGGGCCCTGGAATATCATTTTATAGAAAATCTAAAATTAATATTAAAAGAAAACCAAATTATGAAAAAGGCTGGTTTCAAAATTGACCAGTGATCATTTCACATAGACTCTATGCCTTTCACTTTACAAACGAAGATTTTCCTCAATCACTATAAATCAAATGATGTTTTTTTCACCTAATTCATTTTATAACGTTTATTTACCAGCTTTAAAAAAATCTAAATTGAAATTGATAGTCTAGGGAACATACTGTATTGATATACTCTACTGCATATAATTTGTGAACATTTACATGATTTGTACACTTTGAACTCCCTTTCAGGCTGAAAGGGACTGACAAAATTCATACCGAGGGATTATCAAAATTCCACTCTAATATATATTCTATTCTCTTTGTCAACAACCCAAGGAAATATGTACGGTCAAAATTTAAAAAAAGTGCCTAGCTAAAAAGTCAATCTGCGAAATTTTCAGTTTTACAATTACAAAGAAAAATTTTGCAGCTTGAAAAGCGAAAATTAAACACTAGACTTGTTACTAAAAAAAGTTTTGATATTTACAATTGTATATAATTTATAAATGTAATCTATATCTATTCAGTGCTCTAAGACACATATCTATGTTAAAATATTAATCTATTCATATATCTAGTTTTATATATGATAATATCTATATCTATTTAGTGTTCTAAGCATATACGATTATCAACCAATCAATCAAAGCATGATGAATGGTGAGGGACTGTGCACTAAGACATTAATATTTTTATGTCATATATATTCATTACATGATATAAGATACAGGATACAGGATATTACAAGACATAGGATACAGGATACAGAATATTACAAGATATAGGATACAGGCTAATACAAAATATGAAATACAGGATATAGGATATTACTGGATATAGGATACAGGCTATTACAAGATATAGAATGCAGGATATTACAAGATATAGGATACAGGAAATTAAAAGATATAGGATATACGACACAGGATATTACAAGATATAGGATATACGACACAGGATATTACAAGATATATGGATACAGGATATTACTAAATTTAGGATTTACGACACAGGATATTGCAAGATACAGGATACAGGATATTACAAGATATAGAATACAGGATATTACAAGATATAGAATACAGGATATTACTAGACATAGGATAGAGGATATTACAAGATATAGAATACAGGATATTACTAGATATAGGATACAGAACACAGGCATTGAGATTACGGATGCAGGACAAAAGTAAAGTACAGTTTATCGAGATGTAATTCTAATATATTTGATCTGTATGTTCTTTTGGAATTAAATATCTTTGCATTTTATGGTTTCTCTTACCGATTTTTGTTATCAGTCAACTAGGAAATATAGATACATGCAATCATGTTTAATCGATAAATAAAAACATGATACGGTAATCTCCGCTAAATCCTACTATATCTTCGGTCAGTGTACTGCACAATAGTGCAGAATGCACCGAAAGCTTTGTTGGGGGCAAGCATCGACACAGATTGCGTATCTCCTTTCACAGGGTGGGCTTCGTAGGCCTAAGTTGACCCGGCACGACATGCTACGTTTTAACGATGGTTCTAGAGTGCCATCTCACGGCCACTTGTTGAACATAATACCTATTTTAAAGAAATACTCCAATTTCAAACATGAAACATAACATTCATGAATTCCGTTTTTTTAAGATTTTGTGTTTTGTATCCAAAGGATCCTTAAATATCCCTGAATACAGATGTTTGCTGATTGATCGTGTACAGTACTTGTACACAATAGGAAAATATCGCATATTTTAGCTGATAATCGATTTTTGTAACTCTCTTATCTCTGGGGGCAAGGTAATAAGGCAAGGAAAGTTAATAGCTGTTGCATATTCTCTGCGATCATATTCAAACCAGTTCTCTCTGGGCGGTGTTTGTGAACAAGAATAAATGTATCTGTGTTCTTTTTGTATCCAAGGAAGATAAAAGCATTCAATTTTGAAAAATTTGATCATTCACATAATAGTTTCCTATTTTCAGAATATTTCATTGATTTTTCATGTGAAAATGGATCCCGTGTCTGGCTGTGACATCGTCTTGTGTTTACTTTACCGCCCAGAGACAGTAAAATGCAGTACGAAAAATTATAATTCTTTGGTTGGGGTGATACACCAGATAAGAGAGATATGTTTAAATCTAAATTTAAACAGATATTTGATCTCAGAAATCAATGTAAATATATGTAATATACAGTGGGATTTAAAAACTATGAAGAGGAAGACGACTTTTATACTCAAATTTTTCTTTTTAAAAGTCGAAAGGATATGAAACACAGCAGCTGTTTCAGACCAAATATCAAAACATGTCGATTTTCAAGCTTTAGGCAAACTTGTAACATCATCAAGAGCAAATGAGATTGCTTAAATGTCGTCTTTCTATTCCGAAGTTTTAAAGGTCTCTCTGTAAGGTCTTTTTATTATACGTGATGAATTAATACCAACCAATAAAATATTAATTATATAACTAGGTTGAACAGAAAATATAATAAAGTCAAATTATGGCTTTATCCATGTACATTTATATCCAGAGAGAACTAAATCAATGAATTTAACCATCTCGTTGGATTAAACAAATATTTGAATTAGGATATTAAAAATACACCATTAAACACAGCAACATTACAAAGTATAGATTTTTTACAATGGAAGATTTGATCAATACCTAGAATTCTAACCAACCGTCCAACCATCCAACCATTCTTTATTCTTGCTCCCAAACATCCTTTACACCTACTCCCAACCATCCAACAATCCTTGATCCTTGCTCCCAACCATTCAACCACCTTTATCCTTGCTCCTAACAATCCAGTTATCCTTTATCTTTGATCCCTACCATCCAATCATCCTATATTTTGCTGCCAACCATCAAAACATCCTTTATCCTTGCTCTCAACTATCCAACTATCCCAACCCCCTACATTTGATAATTATTTCACTCAAATCTTCCTTTCATTATTTCTCCTTTTTCATTAAATAGTTAATAATTAATTTAGCTTCTCCAGCTTTTATCTGTATTTGATATTTACAGGAGAGGTAATCAAATAATTTATTTATAGCATCCTTCACATTTCTTTATCAGTTTATCTTGCCTTTCCAAAATAACTTTCGATGCCAAAAAAAAGAACCAACTACAACGCTCGATGTGCATCCTGTCCGTATCGACATATTTTTTAAATTTTAGTCAAAGAGAAAAGTTTTTATTTCAGGGGTGAAAATGCAGTCCAAAATTAGGTCTCACTAACTTTTAACCAGGGCCCCTAATTTACCATGACATACCCCTGGATCCCCAAACAATACACCCNAGATAGATAGATAGATAGATAGATAGATAGATAGATAGATAGATAGATAGATAGATAGATAGATAGATAGATAGATAGATAGATAGATAGATAGATAGATAGATAGATAGATAGATAGATAGATAGATATATAGATAAATCTGTTTTAATTCACGCATTTTTTCAATTATAAAAAATTTTGACATTCTTTTCGGGGCAATTTATTTTATTTTAAAAAAAATCTTTCCTGGGGTCGCTTTGTCGTTTTGACGTTTATTGGATGCCGCAAACAGACAAACAAACAGACAGGGAAAATAAATATACATATAGATATATGTTTTTATCTTCTTTTTTTTTCACTGTTAGAGAATATTTTAATATATTTGGTTCAGTTGGAATACAAAATGTTTTACATTCAGGTTTTTGTGTAAAAAGTTTGCGACTCTGACAGATTTATTTCTATACATATCACATTGCATAGATTCAATCAAATATTGTTTTACAGCAAAAAGTTTGTTCTTTTCTTTTCTATGATATTGTTTCTTATCCATTTTATTCTTTTCGAATATCTTTTTACTCCATATCATTTTAATTAATTTTCAAAATCCACAAAATTATTAGTTTAGCCGTTTTCAAAGAAAAATGGCATGCTTCAAGAGCAAGGGTAGTTTTATTTATTTCATATTTACACATATATCCGGCCTTGTGCTGACCTGAGATGGAATTTAAATAATTTGAGCCGCGGTTTAAATCTGCCAAAACCCGGTTTAAATTAAGCGCCGGCTTCAATCTTGAAACATTTGATACAATTTTAAGTGGAACCAACCATATTTAAGCCACGGCTTAAATTTAAACCGCCGTTCAAATTCTTTAAATTCGGCCACTGGTCTCAAATATTTGTATTACTTCATATGATCCTTTTTAAAGATTTAAGGTTGTTAGTTCAAAATTTGAAAATGTAAAAAAAAGGCATTAATAATAATAATCCATTAAAAAGTTAAAATTGTTTATGGGATGCGAGATATAAAAATAAAATATAAGAGATGAAATTTGATTACAATCCAGAATAGAAAATGTTCAAGCAAACTAAAAAGGTTTTGATTATTAAATCTAGTTTTAAAGACCTTACAAGAAAATATAGTCAAAATAATGTGGCATGTCTGATCCATAAAAGTACCTTTCAAACCTTTGTCTGATCATCCATTATGGAGATATCTTCATAAATTCTCATGATTCTCACAATTGGATAATCTTTAAGGATCCAGAGGCCGAATTTAAAGAATTTGACCGGCGGCTTAAATTTAAGCCGCGGCTCAAATATGGTATGGTTGGAAATATTGAATATTCAATATCTGCTTGGTTTCACTTAAAATTGTATTCAATGTTTCAAGATTTAAGCTGGCGCTCACTTGAAACCGGTTTTTGGCAGCTAAAATTCATTAAATTCGGACACTGGAATCAAAATCTAAGATTATTTTAGACTATAATTTGTCTTGAACTTTTACTATAGCACAAATATTCAAATTTTTCTAAAAAAATGTGTAGATATCTAAAACAATTTAATAGAATCTTTAAAAAAGGATTTTATATATTTTGATTTTTTTATAGCTTTAACATGATTGTTAATTATATAAATACAAATTTTCAGTTGTAAGTAAATTTCTAACTCTTTAATTTTGATTTTCAAGAACAAATTTGTATTAACCCCCCCCCCCTGGAAAGTATCGTAACACACACACTTGTATGCCGAGTCCATTAGCGTCTGATCCTATCAGGGTTCAGTCATTTGTTTTGTGTCCATTCTGAACCAATAAAAATTGCATGGCGGTAACATCTATCTTTCTATCTATACTCATCATCCAATTAGAGTTAAATCCTTCAAACGGCGCTATACACTAAATGTATTTACTTCTATTGAAACTGAAGTGGCAAGCCACCCCTGTATATATTCTGTGCATGTAAAAAAATTTTATTATATTTTTCAATCACAATACCATTCACTGACAACAGCCTACTTTGTACTTATGCTTGTCTGGGTGAACATTTGTCTGTTTGTCTATCTATCTGCTTATGGGTCTATCAAGCTATCTAGATAAATATTTGCCTGTCTGGGTGGGTGTCTGTCTCCGTATCCATCTCGCTGTCTGCATATGTAATAAATAGCTGTCTGTCTGCTAGTCTGGACCATTCTGACAGTGTCTGGGCATCTTATTTTTGACTCATTGTCTGACAACCTCGTTTTCTGTTTCATTTTATAACATTCGAGGTATTAGACTTTTTATATTTTATATTTTTATCGTGTTTCATGTTTCAAATCTTCTAGAATTTTGCAAAATACTCCACTATAAACTGAAGATTGAAAAAGCACTTTACATCTTTTAAATCTTCCTTTCAAGTATAAATGGCTTTGCAATGGAAAACCAAGGGCAAGTCCAGGCGACGTTTCAAATGGGCCCAATCTAAAAAGTCAATGCATAATTTGCATAGTATGAAGTTTTGAACAGGATTAAATTGGTGTTTAGACTATTCAAGGAAGAAATGATTGGAACTAACCATTTAGGTCTTTAGTTTCATACACTACACCGTTTTTCGTTTGAAAATTTATTTTTAATATAAGAAACATTACTGATTATATACTTAGGATTGCTGAAATGAAATATTACAAATATTTTAGTGATAAATTAATGTGTGTATCTAAACGTAATAAAAAAAGTTAAATACTAAAAATTTGTTAGGCCTCAGTTCAGTAAATATGACAATTTAAGCAAAAATGTTACCCAAATGTTATTTCTACTAATTTTAATGTGCATTTGTATTTATGAAAAAATAAATGAATGTCTAACTTGTGAAGGCATTACAATTTGCAAAAATGTTAAAACTTTAAAATTGCAATTTCAGTCACTAAATCGTCAGGTGCTTCGCCAAAAGGTCTGCAGCCATTTTCATCCTCGTACTGGTTGACTTGTATTGTAGACAAAATCTTAAAATAGCATTATTCAGAACTGTTTGTCTTAAACGTTTGTTTTAATCTTAAGAATAAATCTATTTAGATAAATACAGATCATAAAGTGCCACCTTTTCTCCATTTGATTGATTGATTTATTGATTGAACTACTGAATACTAATTTCATGACTAATAGGAGTTTCTCTTTAAAGGGACCGTTCACTTATTTGGGTAATTTCAGGGTAAACTAAACAGCCTATTCGCTCTTGATTGGTAATAGTCTTACTTTTCAAAGACAACTGTGGCCGGAGAAAAAGCCGATTTTTCGTTCAGAATTCGAGCTCAAAGGGACGGTCCCTCTCTATAGACACTAATTGATGTTTTCTTCAGTATGTTGTGAATCAAAATAAATAAACATCTGATCGTTAATTGTAAATGTCATTATTTTTTAATTTTTGTTGTTTTTTAACTTTCTATTTCTAAAATAACACTATTTCATCGCATTCAAAATTGTGTATTGCCTGTGTAAAAAGCTGAATTGAACGCGGCATGACAAATGAAAAGTTGTGCACATACGCGAACAAAATCTACAAAATCTACGAACCAAAATATGAGTTATGATTAATTGATTGTTTTAGAGACGTCGTCTTTGTATACATATTTTACATGTTTTAATACGAAAAACGTAAATTTCTTGCTAACTCAAATATCTAAAGTTTTCATATAATAGTTCATTATAACGAACACATAATGACATTAAAATAAAATAAATTTAAATTTTATTGGGCTGCTGTTACTGAAAAAAACATCAAATAGTGTCTATAGAGAGGGACCGTCCCTTTCAGCTCAAATTCTGAACAAAAAATCGGCTTTTTCTCCGGCCACAGTTGTCTTTGAAAAGTAAGACTATTACCAATCAAGAGCGAATAGGCTGTTTAGTTTACCCTGAAATTACCCAAATAAGTGAACGGTCCCTTTAAGAGACAAACACTTTCAGATCAGATTTTCTAATGTCTATAAAACCCATCCATATCTCTGCAAATGTAATACATTCATTTGTTTACCTGATACTTCAGTGTTCTTGATATCAGCTGGGTTAGCCGGTTTGCATTTGCTGTAAAGATTCCCAAAAATCCACGCTCTCTTCCCTTACGAATATTTTCCTGCTCCATGAAAAGTGCCACTCTAATGTTCTCTAAGGGACTGAAAAAAAATGTTTGAGTAAAACGACTTCTTTAATGGAAATTGAAATTCATACCTTAGATTTTTAGAAGTTCCCAGCATACTAGTGTAAATGAACTTTCCCATTTCCTTAGGAATATGCTTTTCCTTGAGGGGTTCTTCAACAGACTCCAGGAATTCAACAACAGACATAGGAACCTCATCTACAGCTTCAGGATGTTCAGGTGTGTGATCCTCTTCACCATTTTTACCAGCAGATTGTTCCAAATCATTCATGTTTCTTGAAAATGCTGCTCTAGCACATAAAGGAGCAGCTTCAGATGACCTGGCATCAAAGTTTAGACATGCTGCGATAGGGATATTTTTCTTGTCATACACAACTATGCTAAGGTTTGCTGCTAGCAGGGAGGGCCATAATACCTCAAGTTGTTCAATAAGAACTTCATATGTGACAGTAGCCAGGGTTGTTAGATCTCCCTTTTCAGCAAAACTGCGACTCATCATGTCTAGCACAATAGCTTTATGCTCTTCTTTTAGGTCACCGCTGGAATATTCATTCTCTTCACTCATTTTCTTCAGAACGTGATCCAAATCTTCCTGAATTTCACCAGCAGTAAGATGTTTGATTACATCTTTGAGTTTAGCACTCATGACAAAGTTAGTGACTGAAATATTGTAACCATGGTCACTAATCTTACTAATTACCATCACCATGTTTATTGAGTCTCCACCTATGTTAAAGAAATTATCCTCTAGTGTTGGCTTGTGATTAGGATTCTGTATGACAGATGCAACTGAGCTAAGCAAAACCTTTGCCATTGCATGATCATTCTCCTCTATTTCTTTAAGATCTTCCTCACCAAATTCAAATTGACTGCAGGACAAAGAATCTTCATACTTCTGTAGCAAAACCTGCCTATCAATCTTTCCATTTACAAGGAGTGGAAAACTATTAAGCTTGATTAGTTTTGGCATCATATAATCAGGAAGTACTGATGACAAGTGAACTTCAAGCTTTGGTTCAGGCATTACAAACCCTTCCTTTACAGTGTAAAAGCAGAGAACTTTTTGGTTAGGCATTCCTGGACTGAAACAAAGAACAGTGGCTTTTGTTACAGATATCACATCAGTTACAGCTTTCTCAATTTCAGATAAATCAACCCTGTGACCTCTGATCTTGACTTGAGAATCTGCTCTTCCTTGAAAGTAGAGACGACTGTTCTTATTGATTGCAAAGTCTCCTGTTTTATATAGTATTTTGTAATCATCCTTTGCTTCACAATGTGGATTTGTTAGGAACCCACCCTCTTTAGCACCAACATAACCTGCACCTAGATTTCGGCTTGCAATATATAAGTTACCAATCGTTCCTTCATTAACAGGCTGTAGGTTATCATCAAAAATGTAGGCTTTAGTGTTATCAACAGGGTAGCCTATGGGTATTTTATCATCCATGCTGACATCCAACACATTTTCCTTTGATTTAAAAGTTTCATAAGTTACATCCATAATTTCAGTTGAGCCATAAAAATTTGATATCATGTGGTCTTGGGGAAAATAATCAAAGAAAGAGAGAAGGATATCTTTTGTGACAGGTTCAGCAGAGCAGTCCCAGATCTTGACAAATTGCAGCCTTTTCCTCTGCTTGTTCAAACGGCAGAAGGCCAGAATGTTTCGGACCAACGAAGTTACAACAAATACTCGACCAATTTTGAACTCTTCAAGCTTATTAACAAAGTCTTCAACATTTTGTGTAACTTTAGTAGGAAAAATTACCAGCTTTTTCCCTGAAAGCAGAGGAGACCATATCTCTGTAACAGAATCAACAAAAGTCAGAGTTGTTTTAAATACACATACCTCATCTTCAGAATATGGGAAGCATCTCCATTGCCAAAAGAATCTATTGCATGCTGCTCTATGAACATGCCTTACTCCTTTTGGAGTACCTGTACTACCAGATGTATAAAGAACGGAATAAAGACGACTTCCTTTTAAAGAGTTGTTCAATATTTGATTAGATGGCAGGTTGAGGATGGAAGTGTTTGTTTTATAGGCTTCCTCAATCATTTCTTTGTATTGAAAAATTGGCCTCTTCTTGGTAATGGCCAATTCTTTTTGAGCTTTTACCAAGATGTCAGACTTGGCATTGGTCATCAGCATGATTGGTTGAGCTTCATTAATGATATGCTGAACTCTCCCCTCAGGCCAATTTGGAGCTAACGGAACATAGGCTAAACCTGCTTTAAACAAAGCTAAGATGGTGATGATAAGACTTTCATCAGGAACAAACCTTAATCCAACAATGTAATCTCCATCCTGATTGGGCAGCATTCCTTCTTTTTTAACCTTTCGCAAAATCAATCTTGCCAACACATTTGCTTTCTCATTTAGCTCTTTAAATGTAAGTTCTGCCTTGGTTTCAGCATGAATTACAGCCACCTTATTTTGGAGATCCAAGTTCTCTTCTAATTGATCCTCAAATAGTTTGCTGATAACCGTATCCTGGGGATGATCATGCTCTTCACCAGTAAGACACCAACTTTCCAGCTTCATGATTGTGTAACTAAATAGAATAAAAAATTTGGTAAAAGGAAGTAAAGTAAATGAAAAGTGCAAAAAAAGATTTATTAAAATTTAATATTTGCTAAAAAAAACTGCAAGAAAGAGCATATTAAATATTATGTGCATGATCTTCAACAAGAGGTAATGCTTCTTCAATTCCTTTCACTTTGACTGATTTATGGCCTCTGTGTCTCCAAGTTAGTGCCATAATAAGCTTCTTAACATATGGAGAAGTATACATTGCCAACACTGCACCCAATGTAGCCCCAACCCAGTAAACTACTATGTGGTCTAGAACAGTTACATCACGTAACACTCCGATGCATCCAAAGGTTCTTGCAAAGGCTAGTAAAGGTTGGAAAAACCCTCCAGTATGATGAAAGCAAACAATAACTAGAGACATAGTGATGCCAGAGCTTGCAAAGATTCTCCAGTGAACTGATACTTTTGAAAAAAGCTCAAAATCAAATATTATTGTAGCTGCTATGTTACATAAAAGTGAGCCTGTAAACTCATACAGAAATCCAACCCAGGTTAGGTCAGCTAGCCATGCAGTACATCTTCCATAGGCTGTCCAGTATGCTCTCCCAATATGGATTGGAGTCAAACCAAAGTCCCAGACATAAGACTGCCAGCGGAAAAATACTGATCCACCCAGAAACTGGAATATAATTCTGATACATGCATCCTTGGTTGAAATATATCCTTTTAATAAGGCTAGAAGATGATTATATGGACAAGAAGCACAATCTATTTTAAATCTGTAGGTTTTAATGATCATGCACATGAAGGCCAGCACTGCCCATATTGGTTCTCCATACTGATGAAATATTGTGATGAGTTCCCAAGAAATAATGCAAGCTTCTCCAGCAGATATGAAGTCTAAGATAACGCTCTTGAAAAGTCCTGGAATGACATTGTGGATAATGAGACGATACGCAATTTCACACATTATCATTGACACAACAATTACCAGCAATGATACCACAATTCCAGGTAGAATTATGAACTTGAACTCTGCAATCATTTTCGTTAAGCTGAAGTAATCATTGTCAGTTGCAGGAATTGGAATATATGGCTGAGTTGTCCATAGCAATGACTCATTTGTATAGATGAGTGGAATAAAGTCTGTCTGTTCATCTGAAGATTTAGGTTTTTTTGAAGAACTTATTAACGCAGTTACTGAAGATGCTAAAGATGAAAGTTCTGATGTAAGATTGCTTTGTCCTGATTTACTAATAGTTTTATTAACTTGAAAAAACTTGAGTTTGTGATGCATGGAGAGGGTAAAGGTGTTTACTAACCTGAGTTTTCCCATGGATTATTTGACACCTGAAGCAATTGAAACATATATTGAGAAATAAACTGATGACAAAGCAAATATAACAAGTGTAAATGTTTTCTTTAAGTGAAAAAGAAAAGTGTACAATTTTTATGAGGGGGGATTAAAATAAAACTGAGAGTAAAACTTTTACGTTTACTGAAGTTTTTAAGCCTAATGGCTTTTGTTAAATAATAATATTTACTTGACTTTATCATGCAATTAGTTGTGTTCAAACTTAATCATTATTCATAAAACTAAAAATAATTTTGCAAAGATTATTAAAGAAATAAAGGGAATCAAGAAATATTTAAAAGGAATTGAATCTTTGCCATAAACTAAAATTTTTAAACCATTGCATCTTTTAAACCTTTGATATTTCAAGCAATTAGATTATTTAATCTAACATAATTGATAGTTTGAAGTATCTAAGGTCTCCGACATTGGGTTAACAAAGATACAGGGATTAAAAATATCAGAGTTTATGACAAAGACTTAATGCTTAAAAAAATGCTTGTATACCTAAATTAAACCAATAGTTTGATTTATTTCAGAAATTTTAACGTGGTGAATCTAGTGTAAAAAAATTATCTAAAACAGCTCTTTGTACTTTTTCTCACTAAAGCTACAAACAAACGCCGTGCATTTTTTTAAAGGGGCCGGCTGTAAAGGAAAAATGAAAGGGGGTATAGGATGAAACCTGAGAATCTCAGGCGTTAAACGATACATATAAAACATCTATCTGATATAAAACTGTTTCAAATTCATGCGAAAATTCGTTTATATGCAATTGTGTATTAAAGTTGTAATATTAAATAGATCATATTCAACAAATAAGCACTAGATGTCTTATGTGTATCGTACAGCTCCTGAGTATCTCAGGTTTAAGCCTATACCCCCTTTTTATTTTTCCTTTACAGTCCCTTTAAAGAAGATGCTTAGTTCTACAAAAAAGGCTTAGTGCGTTGGTGAGGTAAAACCAACGACCGAGGCGATGTTTTGTTTCAAAATTTACCCAGTCTTAAAATTTAGTTAAATTTTTTTAAGATGTCAAGATCTCGGCCCATACATTTTCCCACTTTCTATGTTAGGCTTAAGCTGAAACTATTTTTAAGATGTACATGCATTGCATTCAGCTTGTATTCACATTTATGTATCTATTCTCCCAAGATTTGTGTGTGGAAAAAGTGTTGAAATTTGAATAAATTTGAATAAAGGCTTCACCAAGTTCATTTATGTTTCCACAGTGGGATTCAATGCTCATAAACTACCAAAGAGATTTGTACAGTGGGGAGAGAGGGGGATCAGAGAAACTAGATTTTTTTAAGGTTTACTTCAAATTGAAATTCACTAAACAAGCAAAAAAATAATAAAAAACATTTTAAAATAGGGGTTGATTTGTGGATTAAATTTGATAAATGATTGTGGTATTTCAAGTATTTGAACTTATTTGAACTTGAAATGTGATGTAAACAATGTAAACAAATATTTCCCTGACTTTAAACATAAAATTTTAATGAATTTTAACTCCTGAATAATCTTATTTCTATTATATTTTTCTGAAAAGTTGTCTTATGAAGTAAATGAGGAAGATGTTTGTATCATCTTTCATCATATTTTATTTCCCTAGGTTTTTATTAGTGTTTTTTTTTCTTTAAATAAGAGATTTTTAGTCAATCTTTAGACGATAATTTATTTATATTATCAAAAAATATCAAAAACGCAAATCTTAGAAACAGAAACGATTTTTATATTCCTAGAACTTTATACTCACAATTTCCCTAAAATATGATATGAAAATAAACGACACTTTTCTAAGCTTTTAAATATCAATCTTATTTCGAATTTTTAACAGAATTTAATTGAAGATTTTTATCAGCAGAACAAATGTTTTAATTCTAACACATGCTATGTTTGCAAATTCCTTCCTCCAATAAAATGGATGTTTAAAAAGCAAAAATGTATTTTATCTTAAACTGATACAATTTTGATTTAACTTTTAAAAGTGCGTTTTATGCTTTTTTCGTTAGGATATTTTCTAAATTGAAAAATTTTATATTTCAAATAATGAATAGAGAGTAGTTACTAAAAGTCATAAATACTGAATTTTCTTTTAAAAAGTACATTTCATGCTTTTCCTTGACAGCTCTTGTATAACTTATATAAAAGATGTTATGTAAAAAATAATGAAAGTGAATTCTATTTTTTTGTGAAGATTATTTCTGTTTTTAACATGATTTTTATTTTCTTTTACTGTCAAATTATCTCTTCAGCCATCAAATAAAATATTGATATATGATTTAAAAGTACATTTCACGTTTACAATAAGAATAAAAAAGTGGCTATATTCAAATTTCCACTGAAGTATATTTATGTTTAGAATAAAATAATATTGCCAACTTATGGTGAAATGACTTACTTTTTAAAAGTACTTTTCGTGTTTTGAAGCTCACTGTTATAGTTTTAAAGTTTATTTGTAAAAAAGACAAAAACATTATGAGATGTAAATGCCCGATTCACAAAGGTACCCTTGAAACCTTTATCTGATAAACATTTAACATGTGGAAGATATTGTCGTTTTTCTATGTTTAAAATATATAATTCGGTTATTTTCTATATGTTTTCCATAAATAGAAATGCGCGAGTCTCTTTACAAAATAATTTTCGTGCTTTACCTTCCGGATGTTTTAACGCCTGTAAAACTGCACACAAAAGTGCACGAATTGTTCTGAATATTTAGACAAAATGTGATATATAATATAATAAAAAAGAAGTACAAATATTTGGTCGCTGATCCAGCAAAAATACTGCTGACGGGGAATGTAAACAAGATAGATTGTAAACTATAGGAAACCAGAAAACAACTGTTTTATTCAAATGTTGTAATGGAATATTCTATATATTTCAGTTCGCTTAGAAAACTGCAATAGTAGTGTAGCATTCTATATTTTAGTTGTGTATTATTCTATAGTTTAGTAGTCTAGTTGTGTAGTATTCTGTAGTTTAGTATTCTAGAGTTTAGTTGTTTATTTTTGTAGTATTCTAGAGTTTAGTAGTTTAGTTGTGTAGTATTCTAAAGTTTAGAAGTTTAGGTTTGCAGTATTCTAGAGTTTAGTGGATTAGTTGTGTAGCACTCTAGAGTTTAGTAGTTTAGTTGCGTATTATTCTAGAGTTTAGAAGTTTAGGTTTGCAGTATTCTAGAGTTTAGTGGATTAGTTGTGTAGCACTCTAGAGTTTAGTAGTTTAGTTGTGTAGTATTCTAGAGTGTAGAAGTTTAGGTTCGTAGTATTCTAGAGTTTAGTAGTTTAGTTGTGTAGTATTCTAGAGTTTAGAAGTTTAGGTTCGCAGTATTCTAGAGTTTAGTGGATTAGTTGTGTAGTACTCTAGAGTTTACTAGTTTAGTTTTTTTTGGATAAATTACATATTTTTCCTCTTTGCTTAGTCCTTATAGTAATTTGGGCTTGAGTAATAATTTTTGACAAAGGAATTGAAGTTTGTTTTATATTGTAATTTTCAAACTAATTCATTTTTGAAACCTGGTACTGAACACTAAGACTGATCAAAATCCGTTTATGAACTGCAAGTTTTTGAAAATTAACGGAAGAGTATGCTAACGAACGGCAAAATCATTGAAATCAATGTGCAAACGGAAATAACGGTTCATTGAAAAATAAAAAATTTAGGTTTCCCAAAAAAATGTACGAATGTGTTTTTAAATAACAGCGATTTAAGTCAAATTTTTTACTGAAAATAGAAAAGAAATTATGCACTTTTATGTGCCTTTGCGTGTTTGATTTTTTTATATGTTGTCTTAAAATTTTATGAAATAATCGTGAACGACTTTCACCATTAAAGATTTCTAAATTATCTTCCGTTAAAGGTGTTAATAAAATTGAGACTGAAACTGAAACTTTGAGAAATAACGGAAAATGCCGTTAGCTGAACGTTCAGTTCATAGCTAAAGAACGAACTCGACCTGAAAAGTTGTTTTTGAACGATTTTATCTAATCGTTAATGTAACAAGTTCTGCTGAAGACGTTTGATGACAACTGTAATATTATTATATTATAAAGATTTATTCACACACAAAGATATAAATACATATATGAATGGTGTTGTAAAAATTTGTTTAAATAAATTTTTTTGAAAATACAGGTTTCCAAAAGAAAAGAGAAAAAATATGCAAAATTATACACAAATAGAAAACATTGATTTTTACTCACTACATAACATTATCATTTCAGTTATTACGTAATCATCGAATCCTTCAATTATTCATTCTTGTACTTAAAAGTTCTTGTAAAACCGGAACTTTCCATTCATGTTCCAATGGGACATCAAAATATTTCATTTGTTTCTTAACTAACATTTTACTAAGATCGGAAGGATTTACAAAACAATCATTTGCAATACAAAATAAATTTATGCCAATAACTGTGTTGAGGTCATTTTTACATAAATTAGAAAGAAATCTAATGCAAAGCTTAGAACTTGCTTTAAAAGTCTCATAGAAAGACACACATCTGCTAGCTAACATAGTTTTTACATGTAAACATTGTGAAATACTTTCAATCAAGTACCTATGCGTATCTCTAGGTACATTAAAAAGAATTCGAATAGCAGTATTCCATGCTGTATACAATTTTGAAACACATTGGGAACTGAAGTCCCAAATACTAGATCCATAAAAACTACAACAGTAAATATTGTACAGTTTCAAAATAACAACAGGACTGTTAAAATAAAACTCTTGGTTAAGGGAATGAATTTTTGAAATGAAAATAACTCTTTTTTATTGCAATCTATGGTCATTGAATTATCACTTTGAAGAACATTTCCTAAATGTTTTAAGTCGTTAACAAATGGTAAAGGTAATTCATTCAATAAAATTGGGGTTATTTCATTGTAATTAATCCTTTCTTTAGAAAAAATAAGGCATTTAGTTTTACATTTTTCGATTCGAATATTTGTACTAAATTTCAGCTTAGTAGCTTTGGCAAAATTTTCACAAATTTTCACCATTTCCTGAAGACCTGTTCTGCTAGGAGAAAGCAGGATAATATCATCTGCATATACCCAGATGCCCATATAGACACCCTGGATTTGGCATCCAATAGTTGAACATCGTAATAACTTGATAATTTTGTCAATGTAAATACAGAATAGCACAGGGGAAGAAACTGCTCCTTGTGTGACTCCATTTTGTTCATTGAAGGTATTTGAGAACGCATTACCCCATCTAACATTACATTTTTGATTTGAGTAAATGAACATTAAACACCTTAATGCTAGAGGTGAAACACCCCTCTCCAATAACTCTGTGAAGAGCACTTCCCATGACACAAGATCAAATGCCTTACTCAGATCCATTGCACAAGCATAAACTGCTCTACCAGCTCTGTTGTAATAATCCACTACAGAGTTGACCCCCCAGCTGCACAGTGTAAATTTGAAATATCGAAGATTTGCAAAGAAAGAGCTTAACAAATCTAAGTTTTTATTGCAGAAGAGTAATGTTTATTATTGATTAGGTTAAAAGTAATTTTTAACATTTACTAATTTATTATTGTTGATTTCTCAGTCTCATTCTTTTCTGCAACAATCTCTGTGCTCGATGTATGTACTTTAAATCCTAATCTTCATGTTTATTATATTTTGACAGTTTCTTTAATATTTTGTCCTAGCAACACAAATATTATGTTTTTAGAAGAAGAAAATGGCACAAATCCCCGGAATTGTCGAGAGAAGAATTTCAGGTACAGAACATTGTTAAAAATATATACTTCAATTTGCAGTACAGTGTACAGTACAGTGTACAGTACAGTGTACGGTACAGTGTACAGTACAGTGTACAGTACAGTGTACAGTACAGTGTACAGTACAGTGTACAGTACAGTGTACAGTACAGTGTACAGTACAGTGTACCGTACAGTGTACAGTACAGTGTACCATACAGTGTACAGTACAGTGTACAGTACAGTGTACCGTACAGTGTACAGTACAGTGTACAGTACAGTGTACAGTACAGTGTACCGTACAGTGTACAGTACAGTGTACAGTATTTGTACAATATATTTAGCACAAACTAGATCAGACAGCTCATAAGTTTTCACTGGATAAGCTAAGCAGGCATAAAGTACCAATTCAGAGGTTGAGTTTTACAATTTTCAAAGAAAAACTCTTAATGTCTATTTTTGAAGGTTTTGTATTTCGTATCCTAAGGATCCATAAATATCCCTGAATACAGACGTCTGTTTATCGGTCGTGTACGCCAGTTGTACACAATGAAACTTGATGTGGAAAATATCGCACTTTCTAGCCTTTAGATCTCTGTACTATCTTATCTCTGATATTTAGCTTCTGATAGACGAGGCAGTGGTGCTGGAAGTAGGAGAGGGAGTGCTGCTCTAGGTCATAAAATCTATTAATATTTATTAAATTATTGCTTATTTGTGCTTTAATAAAAAATATATTTTCCAGTTTTTTTAGTTTTTTTGCTAGAATTGCTATTTATTGATTAAATATTTTTGAACTTAAACAATTAAATGAATAAAAGTATAATTTTGAACTTATATAATATTTTTTAAACTGAAGGCGAGAAAATCCAGCTGGCCAGGGAGGCGAGAACCAGGCTTAAATCCTTATCTGTTTCCTCTTTTAAGGTAGAAAGAGGGGGGGGGGGAGAACAAGCTATTCAAAACATTTTAAAAAAATGAGAAAACTGTGTCACATTTTTCAATTTTATCGAATCTAAGTTTGATGTTGCTTTAAATGAATCAACAAATTTAAACTCCAACAACCTTGAACTTTTCCCTTAGAATATTCCCTGAGCATTTAAAGGGAGTGTTCGCGAAAAATGAAAGGGGGTAAAGAAAAATAAGCGCTTTTGATCGCTACTAATCTTACTTCTATCTGTTGCGTCTATTAGGAGAAAATTGTTAAAAATGACTTATGCTAAAGAACGTAGCGTCCATACAAATTCAGAAATTTACAGCTTCAATTAATCAAAAAGCAAATCGATTCTTTATTTAGAAGTTTTAGTTAGAGTTTAGCAGTTAAAAGATTTCTTTCACATTATTTTTGAGAATTAGTTTTTAAAAAATTATTGCGTTTAAAAAAAATAAGAACTTATCATGCCCAAGGGACTGATAAAAATAGTTTTTTATTATTTTCATCAAATTCAAATTTTTGATTAGCTAATCAGCTAATTAGCTATAATTCAAGGGACCGAAAACGTAATTCTTAGTGGGCCTTCATTGATTTATGGCATGTTCGATTGACGAAGTCACCATTTTATTTTCAATTATTGCAACTTCCCAAGGGTATATTTTCCCAAGTTTAAACTTCCCAAGGGTATATTTTCCCAAGCTACAAATTCCCAAGGGTATATTTTCCCAAGCTGCAACTTCCTAAGGGAACATTTGTCCAAACTGCAACTTCCCAAGGGTATATTTTCCCAAGCTAAAAATTCCCAAGGGTATATTTTCCCAAGCTAAAAATTCCCAAGGGTATATTTTCCCAAGCTAAAAATTCCCAAGGGTATATTTTCCCAAGCTGCAACTTCCCAAAGGTTTATTTTCTTAAGCTGCAAGTTCCAAAGGGTATACTTTCTGAAGCTGCAACTTCCCAAAGTTATATTTTCCCAAGTTGCAACTTACCAAGGGTATATTTTCCCAATTTTCCCAAGCTGCAACTTCCAAAAGGTATATTTTCTCAAGCTGCAATTTCCCAATGGTATATTTTCTTAAATGGCAACTTGGGAAGTTGCCAATTGGGAAGTTGCCACTTGGGAAGTTGCCACTTGGGAAGTTGCCACTTGGTAAATTGTCACTTGGTAAGGTGCCACCTGAAAAGTTGCCATTTGGGTTGCTGCCACTTGGGAAGTTGCCACTTGGGAAGTTGTGCACTAGGGAAGTTGCCACTTGGGAAAATTGTCATTTGAAAAGTTGTCCTTGGGAAGTTGCCACTTGGGAAGTTGCCACTTGGGAAATTGTCACTTGGGAAGTTGCCCTTGGGAAAAGGCCTTTGGGAGAGTACCTGTCACCATTTCTCCTTTTTTAAGGTGGAAAATTAATTCTGATAATTTCTATAAATTGTATACTGCGGCAAAAATCTGTGTTTGTATAAAGAGAAACAAAATCAATTTAAACAAAAAAAATGTTATCTAATTGTTTATCCTGTATCAAACAAAGGTTCAAAGGGTACCGTTGTGATTCAGAAATGCCAGTCTATTAATGGGTTGTTACTTGAGGAACTAGTGTTTCGGAAAAACTTTAAATGTTTGATAATTTCTTCTTTTTTCCGCACAGGGCAGTTTTGATATCAACAATTTCCTAGAAGATAAGGATCTTGATATAGTTGGGAGAACATATAAGGGTAAATATCATTTATTTTAAATATTTTTGTAAAACCGAACATTGAGCTTCCCAAATTATATCGGTCAATGATTTCTGATTTAGACTCTATTTTAACGATGTTTCTAGAGTTTTCTATCTAGGATTTACTTTAACTATTTATTCTAATTTGTTTCATTTTTTTATAATTTTATTTTAAAGAATTGCTACTTTGGTTCTAAATCTAATCCAAAAATATTCCCTTTAAATAGATTTTCTAACTTGAAACTAAACGATTTCTGACATGTGTCACATCCAGAACTTTTCTTATTCACAATTCTTCAAGATTTTATAAACTTTTTTTAGTTTTCGTTAATAAAACATTTTACTGTTGGGCAAACGCCTATATTTGTTTATCATATAATTCATTATCGAAATGTTAGATAACCTGGTAAAAATCATTTAAGTATTAATTCATATCATGTTTTCTACTCTTTAATCTATCATTTGGATTGCATCACAGTTTTAAAATACTTGATCATAGTTATATAAAATTCTATTAAAATGATATAAGATATATAGATTCCAGAAAAGTTTTCCGATATTCTATCAATTGTACATAAACTACGCAAGTTATATGAGATTCTATCAAAATTGTATGATACTCAATCATGCTATTCTGAGATTCTATCAAAATTGTATGATACTCTATCATGCTATCATGAGATTCTATCAAAATTGTATGAGACTATCCTGCTATCAAAATTATATGAGATTCTACAGTGGTAGGCCTATATAACAACATAATAGATACGACTCTTTAGTAAAGTTTTACTTACTTTCCAGCTTGCATGTAACTAAAGGGTAGCTGTGAATCAAAATTATTTATTGTTTTTAAGATATTATCGTTTTGTGACATAAAATCAGGGAATAAGAATAAAGGGAATAGAAGTGGCGTTGGTCTGGCATGAGAAAGCTAGTCGCACTGCTAGACAGACAAGTTCGTTATTACACACGCACACTCTTTTGGTACAGGCATACATCATGTCTACAGTCAGTAAACAATTAATTAATTAGTTAAACAATTAACAGTAAGTAAAAAATTAACAACAAACAAATGTACTCTCCTAGACTGTACTGCAAATACCAAGATTCGTATGTACTGTATATACCTACAGTACACGCATTTGGTTCGGTATTCCTTACACACACTCTTTTGGTACAGACACACATAATCGAAGTTTTCGCCTCCTGCATAAAATTGGATAACTTTTAATGCAATGACACACGAAGAAATTTAGGTATATTTATTAGTTCCTATAATTTGGGATTATTTAACCCTGATTTGATAGAGGTGGATAAAATATGCAGTACGCACTTTGATAACATGTGTACTGCATGTGTACTTCATATCGATCGTACATACATTCAGTGTATATACCAAGGTTATAATGCAAGGAAAATTAATTGCATACTCTGCGCACATAACTAGTTCTCTGGCTCTGAGCGGAATTTGTAATCAAGAATAAATGCATCAGTGTTCGTTTAAAATCCGAGGAGGTTAAGCTGAGATTGTTTTCTAGTCAACTCACAGATTCCTTTTGTTTACAACCGAGCTGGATAGAAAGCAAAGCTGTTCTTTAATGTCGTCTGTATTATATTGATAAATAGGCATATTACCGTATCATCCAATATTTATGATACATGTAAGATATTAAGTATCTAAATTTGCCTAAATTTCCTCCTCGAGTCCTCATGCACTGTGTTTCTAAAAGATAGCTCCAAAAGGAATTGATTCTTTGCCACAAACTCTAATTTTCTAATCCCTTTATCGTGTCAACTCACAACGTCGTAGAGCTAGGAATTTTGATAGATAAAATCATCTAAGTTTGAAATATTAAAGATTTTCACAATCATGTTTGAGTTTGCGACAGATACTCAAGTCCATTATAAAATATATTTCTTATTTTTGTTTTAAGATATATTTCCTGTGAACTCTGGAACAGAAGCTGAGGAGTACACCAGGAACTAAAAAGAATTTAAACAAATTTAAATATTAATTCATTTTTAACTCTAAAACATTAAAAAGATTAAAAATGTTATAACTTGTTTTGGTTTTTGCAGCAAGTTTATCTATGCTGTGGTTGAAATACTGCTGGATTTCATCAATAAAACCAATGACAGGTAAATAGATAAAAACATATTCCTTGTTTTCTAACGTTCATATTTAAATTTAGCCTTTTTGTAAAAAAAAAATTGAATTTTTCGAAATAAATGCACAAAATTTTGTGAGATTTTCAGTGAGACCTATAAAACTGTGGAATGAAGAGGCGACAGTTAAGACTCAAATAATGATTTTCAAGCTATTGCTAAAATGATTTTCTTCATAACAATATAAAACCAAATTAAAATTACAACTAGAGTCTAACAATGATCTTCTTACTCCAATCTTGTATAGGTCTAATTTCTAACTGCAGTACAAAACAGCTTTCCCACTGTTTTAAACTCTCCTTGTTTTTAAACTTTGTAGGATTTGTTAACATAAAGGGTTTACATGAGAACTTACAGAGAATATAAACTTGATACATTACAAGAGAAAGTAGGAAAGATTAAAGAAAATGAGGGTTAGAAGTTGAAGCAAATATTTTATGTGGGACTTGTAATTTGGCGCGGCAGGTGGGTTTATAACTTGGTAGATTAAAAATTGTTAAATATCTGGGAAAATATCAACTAGATAGGTGGGTTTATAACTTGGTAGATTAAAAATTGTTAAAATGTCTGGGAAAATATCAACTAGATATGTGGGTTTATAACTTGGTAGAATAAAAATAGTTAAATATCTGGGAAAATATCAACTAGATAGGTGGGTTTATAACTTGGTAGAATAAAAATTGTTAAATGTCTGGGAAAATATCAACTAGATAGGTGGGTTTATAACTTGGTAGAATTTAAATTCTGAAATGTGGAACAAAAAGAAAATGGCGATTTAAAGAGAATATATATAATATTGTATAAATTAAAATTTAATAGAAGTTGAAAAATCGATATTTAGAGAGCTCCGAAGCACCATTCATGCTTGTTTCGAAGTATTTAGGTGAATAAGGATTTATATCAGGGAGAAACTAAATGGACCAAGAAAGACCAAATCAGCTAATTGTGTGTTTGTAAACAAGGGTCCGAAAGGTTAGAGAAAGAGAATGAAAAAGAAAAAAAAATTTAATATTTTCTAGAGATGCGGTAGTACTGGACTTTCATCATCCTTCACAGATAACAAAGGTAAAATTATCAAAAAAAATTTATTGATTAAAAAAATCTTTTTACCACGATTTGTTCAATATTTTCGACTCCAGCTCCGGTGTAAATATAGATGGTTGAGTCAAGGATATAAAAATTAATGATGTGAGAAAGAAATGTTCTGGTTTTTTATCATTTATCTTATTTTTTTCCCACCAAAGATACATCTTTATAGATTGCAGGATATCCACCTTTTCAATGAATATTTTATCAACAAAGGGAGAGTTCACGTAATAGATTGATGAAGTTTGTTCCTTTCTGAAAAATAGATTTAGTAAAAGTCTTAAAATGAAGAAGCACTTAAAATCATACTGACCATCCCTTTAAAAATGACGACAGAGCAAGTTAAAAGCATGAAATCGAAAAATCCAAACTGCAGAAAGTGTATTTTGCTTTATATTTGTAATAAAGGCCCTTGCTAGACAAGTTAAAAAAGCATAATGTTGACTTAAGCTGATCTTAATTTAGATGATTTTGTTTATTTTAATTTTTACATTCTTCACATTACAATAATTCTTTACTTTTTGTTGTCCTGGACATTATTTTTCAATTATTTTTAAGTTAAAAAAGCATAATGTTGACTTAAGCTGATCTTAATTTAGATGATTTTGTTTATTTAAATTTTATATTCTTCACATTACAATAATTCTTTACTTTTTGCAGTTGTCCTGAACATTATTTTTCAAGGATTTAAAGCGTTTATTTATATATTTATTTGGAAAGAAGTAATTAACAATTTCTATTTTCTTTTCTGAGAAAATGTTGAAAATAGCTTTCTCTAGGTATTTTCATGGATTTTTCTTCAAACACAAACAATAATACTTTTCTAAAATTTTTCCTTTTCTTTCAAAAAGTTTTATAAAGCTTTTCCACTTTTTGTTTAAATCAACAGAAATTTGCTCAAGCAATCAAACCAATATAATTTATAATGAAGGGAACGTTAAGTAAAATTCCAAATAAGCCTCTATTGATAGAGTTTCAAGTTCGGTTCACAATTGTACCGTTAAAAGCACGGCCCGCTTATAGATATGCTTCTATCTACCGATCTATAGAATTCTGGGCTAGCGATGTGCTTCCCCACAGCTATTATATCTGAGTAGAATCTAGATTTTTTAGGAAATTTTTAAAACCTCTGCATAGTGTACTTTAGGTTTTACTCTAACAAATTTTCATTTTGGCTATCGTTCTTTCTATAAAAGTAATTTAAAGAGAAGGTCATGGTCCAAATCAGAGAAGAACTTTGGTAGATCATGGGCCTTGGTGTAAGCAGAAATAAGATACTGTAGCTGAAATCTTGTGAACATAGCATTGCATTTAAATAGTTGATAACATCAAAAATGTCTTGTTTTCAGAATTCAAAATATTAAATATACACTCTACCTTTATTATCTCCAATAATTTTTATGATACAAAGAAGGGGGCTAAATTTCATCAAGTTTTAAAGATCTACAATGTTTTTTTATACTATAATTGACATCAATTAACTTTACAAAAAACAAAGAAAAATGTCCAGGGTCTAATGTCTAGCGTATTGCATAACACCCTAGCGAAGAAATTACATCCAACCTTTACTATAATATTCATTCTATTATCTATCCATGGTTAAAACCTTTGGTTAAGAATGAATTAAATATCCATGATTTTGTTTTTGAAAACTGTTTAGCTTTACGAAAGTGACTTACTATTGACAATATTGACTAATTAAGGTTTCAAGGGTACAGTTGTGAATCAAGTATAGCCCTGTTTAAATGGAAGTTTATTTAACTATGACAGATTATGACAGTCCCTCTGAAGGTTTAATTTCGAAAACATTATGTTTAACTTTAAATACATTTGGTTTGAATTTGATATGCATTAATCTGCCCCTAGCAATCAACATTAAAGAGAAATTTTCATTATTAAGGGATTGTACCGATTTTTGGATAAAGTGGGAGGAAACATTTATGGATGAAAATATTTATGTTAATCTCAGGTTTCACAGATAATTCCAAACCACCGACAAAAGAGCTAAAAAAGTAGAAATTTTTCGTCTTTCATTTTTATCTAATTATGTTCGGCCTTTACATAGAGTTTGCAATATTTTCAGATTCTTTAATTTGAGCTAGCTCCAGTGCATGTGTATGGAAAACACGCACACAGTTATTTGTAGCTTTTTTCTATTATGAGATAACACACACTGTGTTCGAAGCATCTTCCCGTCAAATCGCTCAAAAGATTTTAACCTTGCAAATATGTAATTAATACTCTTCGTACTTCTGTTTCAAATTATTTCACAAAATTATGTTGATTTTCACACAAAAACGATATCTTATTTTCCCTCTGAACTACTGCCATGCCAATAAAAAAACTAAAGTATGTATCTCTAAAATCTTAGATTTTACCCTAATGTATTTACAAATGTATGCACACGATAATTATCGTAAAATAGTTTCTTGTGAAATCCGTACTAACAATTTTGTAAATTTTATATAACGTCGATACATAAATAAATATCTAGATCTTAAAAAATATTTTCAGATTTCTTTCTCGTCAAGGAACTGAAAATTCACAACAAACTCTAATTTTCCAATTCCCATATTGGAATTTTTCCAAGATGATGGTGTAAATCTTTGATATTTTGTTAAACTTTTACTGTTTGGTCTTGAAGAATTATGAAGTTTCAAATACTTCCAAAAACTCTAAAATTTAGTTGCTGTGGATGTATCATTATCATGTATCATTAGTTTTATGGAAACTCCTCAAGATAAAAAGATGTAATTACAATAACTTTTTTTGTGATTTTAGTATATATATTAAAAGGTTTATAAAATCCCACTTTCAACTCTCAATGTCGTAACTTAACACTTGACAATGAACCAAAGTCAGTTTTGTCTCCCCTGGGACCCATTATATCAAGAATTCAGAATTCTGTGTTCAACAAAATTCAAATCTTCAGGATTAAAAAAATATCCTTTCAAAGAAATTCCGAGAGTTTTGAGGGGTAAATATTACAACACCGCAAACAACCCAAATACGAAATTTTGACCTGCACGGGATGGGCTGAACTTTGTCATCAAAAACATCAAAAGAATAAAGCTGGATAAAAAAACCTGATCATCTGAATAAGATATAATCTTTACTCCATTTTATGGTTCTTCAGCTCCACCAGTCGGTTTTATAGCTACAGTGTGTCACACTAAAAAATGACAATCTAAGGACGACAAAAAATTAAATTTAAATTATTTAAAGAACTTCAGTTGGAAAAACCGTAATCAAAGCTGCAATTGTAAATTATGTTTTAAATAAAACAAGGACCTGTCTAATGTTAAGCATGGCATTTTAACTATTCTTTAAATAATAATGTATCTCTATAATCATAATATCATGGGAATTAAAAATTACATGTCTCATGTATTGGAATTAAAAAATGTATTCTAAAAATAAAATATTTAGGCAATGGACTTTACGCTGCCTGATCTTCCTTTACCATTGGAGCAAATAGTAGCAGATTGTAGAGCAGCTTTAAGGTATAGAGCAAATTGTAGAGCAGCTTTAAGGTAGAAAATATATGGTAGTAGAGCAGCTTTAAGGTATAGAGCAGATTGTAGAGCAGCTTTAAGGAAGAAAGTATGTATCAGTAGACGAAGCTTCAAGGTATAGAGCAGATTATAGAGCCGCTTTAGGGTAGAAAGTAAATCGTTGTAGAGAAGCTTTAAGGTATAGAGCAGATTGTAGAGCAGCTTTAAAGTTTAGAGCAAATTGTAGTGCAGTGAATTTTTTGCATTTTTTGCGCGAAATTTTTGCATATCTGATTTCGCAAAAATTTCTCATTTTTTTCGCGAAAAGATTTCTTCTATTCACTGGAAACCCTAGTGTAGAGTTGATAATATTAGAGCACCTTTAAGATAAAAACTTGAAAGATTATGGAAGTTGATTTAGTTTAAGTTAGGTTAAAAATCAATCTATTAATTAATAAGTTAATTGATTAATGAATTAATTAAAGATACCAAGTGAAGACCGGACATCCACATTTCTTCAACCAGCTCTCACAAGGTTTGGAATTCCTAGCTATATTTTAGTTTAAAACCCTATTTTATTTATATATTGGATATTCAAGAAACTGTCTTTTTTCTATTTTATAAGGTGTAATATTCTGACAATTTCAATCATTGTTTCATTTATCCATGATTACTGATCATACAAAGGTTAAAATGTATATGGCGCGCGTTTTGGGAATTGTATACATGCCATCTGAATCATGCCTTCAGTTCATTTAAGGTTGTGTAAAGAACATAAAAATAAGAAATAACCTTTTAAATAATCAAAGACATTTACTTTATGAGATTTAAAAAACATCTTCTTGAACAATTGTAAGTTGTCATGTATCGTATATCTATGTAACTATATTTAGAATTAGATATTGTGTCTATGTATCTATATTCAGGATTAGATATTGTGTCTATGTAACTATATTTAGGATTAGATATTGTGTCTATGTAACTATATTTAGGATTAGATATTGTGTCTATGGCTGGCGAGTGGTTAGCTGCAACTGCAAACGCAAACATGTTCACTTATGAGGAATAAATCATTTTGAATTAAGTATCTAAATATATCAGCATATCTTATTTTGTATTGAAACTCCGAGCAACATTGCACGAGGATAAATTAAACAATAAGTAGAAAATTAAGAAGGTAAATAACAAAAAGCCAGAGTTCAAAGTTCAAATATTTCTTTACAGTCCCCCCCCCATAGTGTTTAAAATGTTGCAAGCTCTCAAGACAAAAATCGATGTGCATTTTGCCAATTACTTTTTGAAAACTAAAGCTTTAACAACATGCCGCTTTACAGTTCTAAAAAGCGATGCAACCAACGAGAATAGAATATATATTAGAGTGGAATTTAGACAATCCCTAAGTATGAATTTTGTCAGTCCCTTTCAGTCTGAAAGGGAGTTCAAAGTTCAAATCATGTAAATGTTCACATTAATACAGTATGTTTCCTAGACTATCCATTACAATTTCGAATTTTTAAAAGCTGTTCAATAAACTTTATGAAATGAATCAGGTGAATAAAAAACATCATTTGATTGATAGTTATAACGGAAAATCATCGTTTGTAAAGTGAAAGGCATAGAGTCTATGTGAAACGATCATTGGTCAATTATGAAACCAGCCTATTTCATAATTTGGTTTTCTTTTAATATTAATTTTAGATTTTCTATAAAATGTTGTTCCAGGGCCCAAAAGGTAATGTAGCACAAATATGTGAAGTACACCTGCAGTATGGAAACAGTACAAAAAAATGGCTGTTTTACACTTTTTTCCAGTAAATTCCCCTCTAATATGTATTCTATTCTCTTTGGGTGCAACACTTTAAAGTGTTGAAAATTGCTGCAACGTTACATAGCAATCTGTATCTATGTACCCTAGTAGTGGATTGATTTAAGAAGTAGAAAACTTTATATCTCTTGCCGATTTAAATGTACATTCAACAGTTTACGACTACGGTGTAAGATTTAAGTCCAACGGATCAGCGCTATCCTATTCAAAAGTTTATGCCTTGGCAGGTTTAGTTTTGAAGAAGTTAAATTATTAAATAAAATGATATTGATGTAGATCGCACCCGTCTTCATCATGATGGAACACGAGGTCTTGCTCAAGATGCGGGACATAATCGGTTGGAAGGTAGAGCATTAAAGGGACTGTAAGCGTTATTTCAAGTAACACAGCATGTAAAGATTACAATGTACAATTCACATTGGTACCCTTGAAATATTTTATCTTTGCAAAAAAGTAGTAGATATTGTGTTTTTCTAGGCTTAAATGTGTCTAATTCTGATAGTTCCTTTATAGTTTCCTGTCGTAGAATTTTACTGTAGAAAGCAGCAATTAACTCTTGTTGAGAACCCACAATTGAAACTAATCAGTTTTCAAAATTATAAACTATGAAACCAAAGGAATTGATTTTTTGCCATAAACTCAAATTTTCTAATCCCTAAATCTTTAGAGTCCAATATAGTAAACCATTGACATTTCAAACTATGACTTCTGTTAGATCAAATAATATAAGTTTGAAATATCAAAGGTTTATGACATTGGGTTTCAAAGATATAGAGATTAGAAAATCAGAATCTGTGGCAAGGACTCAATTACTTTTATATTATCTGACAAGGATTTGAAGGGTATCGTTGAGAATTTGAAGGGCATTGTTGAGAATTTGAAGGATATTGTTGAGAATTTAAAGGGTATTGTTGAGAATTTGAAGGGTATTGTTGAGAATTTGAAGGGTATTGTTGAGAATTTGAAGGGTATTGTTGAGAATTTGAAGGGCATTGTTGAGAATTTGAAGGATATTGTTGAGAATTTGAAGGGCATTGTTGAGAATTTGAAGGATATTGTTGACAATTTGAAGGGTATTGTAGAGACTTTGAAGGGTATTGTTGAGAATTTGAAGGGTATTGTTCAGAATTACGCTTACAGTCCTTTCAAATAAATTTGGAAAGCCTTAATAATTTGTAAAAGTATATTTTTTACTTTAAAAGTTATAGAAAGTGATGCAAAATGGAAATAACACAAAAGAAATTTTTCTTCAAATTGAAGGTTTTTGATCTATTTGTATCAGGAGGGTGACAGTATTCTGGCCCCTGGTGGTAGCATATCCAACATGTATGCGCTTATCATAGCTAGGTAGGTCAACTTAAACACCTAGAAACTCATAGCTAGTTATAAGTAATTTTATGAAACGTTTGTGCACTAGTCTTGTTTCAATGGCTATTTCTAGATCAAATAAGCTTTGAAACAAAGCAGAAAACAAAGTATAAAATTGATTTTAATATTATCTTCATTAAAATTGAAAAAAAATATATTTTGGAAATATTCTAAATTTTATGGAGAAAATCCGGGAACTCCACACACAAACTTGATCTTAGGGGGGTTTTATCGATAAGTCATAAGTCTTCAGAGCGCTTAATTTTTGAATTCATCAAATAAATAAATTGTTTTAAATCTCTCAAAGATATTATTTCTAGTGTCAATCTGTTGAAATAGTTTCAAACCAAAGTGAAAAGTAGAAACTTTTCGAAATTTAACTATTCAGCAGATAATTTTGTTTGCTACAGTGGTAAGTGATTATATCAATTCAATGAAGACGACTTTCGATTTCAATTTTAATTTATATCGAGGTCTTAACCAGCATGGATACACTTGAAAAAGCAAACTAAGGGTTATAGATTTTAAAAGCTTTTCTTTTTTTACTTGTAAACTTGTAATTCTAAAAAATCTTGTAAACAATCAAAATTTCAATAAAAATGTCGTCTTCATTGTATTGATATAATCGCGTACCACTGTACTTCGTGAGTTTTTCATTCACGTATTTGTCCCGGAAAAATTGAGAACGATTTAAATACCAAAAAAAGTTTTGTTTATAGGCATAAAAGATTCCCGGAGCATAAAGAAGGAGGAATGCAAGCTATACCCTCAACACCTGTCTGCTATACTAGCAAACATGTAATATTAATATTTTTAATAATAATAATGAGAGTAATTATAATACTATGATAACAATGAATATTAATTAAGAGCCACTACTCTCTGAAAGGAGCTGCTGCAACTATTGGAATAGGAACAGGAAATTGCAGGTAATTTTCTTTCTTTTGTCCTTAATTCAAATCCTCTTTTTTCTAATCCTAGTTTCATTCCTTATCTTTTTTCTACTCCTAGTTTCATTCCTTATCTTTTTTTTACTCCTAGTTTCATTCCTTATCTTTTTTTTCTACTCCAAGTTTCATTCTTTATCTTTTTTCTACTCCTAGTTTCATTCCTTATCTTTTTTCTACTCCTATTTTCATTCCTTATCTTTTTTTTTACTTCCTAGTTTCATTCCTTATCTTTTTTTCTACTCCTAGTTTCATTCCTCATCTTTTTTCTACTCCTAGTTTCATTCCTTATCTTTTTTCTACTCCTAGTTTCATTCCTTATCTTTTTTTCTACTCCTAGTTTCATTCCTTATCTTTTTTTGCTACTCCTAGTTTCATTCCTTATCTTCTTTCTACTCCTAGTTTCATTCCTTATCTTTTTTCTACTCCTAGTTTCATTCCTTATCTTTTTTCTACTCCTAGTTTCACTCCTTATCTTTTTTCTACTCCTAGTTTCATTCCTTATCTTTTTTTTCTACTCCTAGTTTCATTCCTTATCTGTTTTCTTCTCCTAGTTCCATTCCTTTTCTTTTTTCTACTCCTAGTTTTATTCCTTATCTTTTTTCTACTCCTAGTTTCATTCCTTATCTTTTTCTACTCCTAGTTTCATTCCTTATCTTTTTTCTACTCCTAGTTTCATTCCTTATCTTTTTCTACTCCTAGTTTCATTCCTTATCTTTTTTCTTCTCCTAGTTTCATTCCTTATCTTTTTTCTACTCCTAGTTTCATTCATTATCTTTTTTCTACTCCTAGTTTCATTCCTTATCTTTTTTTTCTACTCCTAGTTTCATTCCTTATCTTTTTCTACTCCTAGTTTCATTCCTTATCTTTTTTTCTACTCCTAGTTACATTCCTTATCTTTTTTTGCTACTCCTAGTTTCATTCCTTATCTTTTTCTACTCCTAGTTTCATTCCTTATCTTTTTCTACTTCTAGTTTCATTCCTTATCTTTTTTCTACTCCTAATTTCACTCCTTATCTTTTCTCTACTCCTAGTTTCATTCCTTATCTTTTTTTTCTACACCTAGTTTCATTCCTTATCTTTTTTCTTCTCCTAGTTTTATTCCTTATCTTTTTTTACTCCTAGTTTTATTCCTTATCTTTTTTCTACTCCTAGTTTCATTCCTTATCTTGTTTCTACTCCTAGTTTCATTCCTTATCTTTTTTCTTCTCCTAGTTTCATTCCTTATCTTTTTTCTATTCCTAGTTTCATTCATTATCTTTTTTCTACTCCTAGTTTCATTCCTTATCTTTTTTCTACTCCTAGTTTCATTCCTTATCCTTTTTCATTTATCCTCATTTTCCTAAAAATGTTATCTAATCAGATGTTTCATTGTTGTTGCTGGATATTCTAGGTTTTGGGTTAATTTAATTAACGATCTATTTCATGCAAACACTGCAGTCTTTCCCGATGTACAATGGTCCCGGCCCTTAAAACCTTTGTGTGTTTGTAAATACGAATGAATATCTGTTGTGATGTTTGAATAATTGATTATAAGTTTATAACTCAGGAACCCTTCCGACAGATTTTGCTTGGGAACTGGGTAGAACCAAGTGAAAGTCTGAAAGGGTTATGTTTTATGAAACCGTAGATGGGACTCTTTAAATAAAGGGTAAATTGGAAATATTCTCTGCAGGGTTACCAGAAAAGGATAAGACTTTATAATCTCTTTAAATAAAATAAATTTAAATTTTGCCTGAATTATAGTTTATAAGATATTCATTGTCTAAAAAGAAACACGGTTACCGCTACAGGGAATCTTAAATGTAAGAATTCTTGAAGTTGTGAGTAACCTGGCCTTTAATCTTTCTTTTATTTGATTATTTTTTGGGGGATAGCAGACCCCCCCTCCCCCTTTCTCCTAAATATAGAAAAAGGAATTGAGTTTTTGTAACAAGCTTAAATTTTCTAATTCCTATATCTTTGTAGCCTGATGGTGTAAACCTTTGATTTCACACTTAAATAATTTAATAGAATTTATGATATGAAATATTTCTTTCGACTGTTTTCTACTTTACCCGGTTACATACATAAACATCATTATAGACAAATATGTATTAAGTATATTATTGGAAATTAAATCTTTTTTAATCGTCTGTGCAGTGAAATCCAAGAATTCCTTTTAATTTGAAAGTACAACCAATGCTATACTTACTTATGTTAAAGTTTCCTACCACGGGCTACCTGGCTACCGTTCATAAACTAATTTAATGTACTAATTAAAGCTACTGCACTGTATTTGTTAATCTGAATTACTCTACTTGTACAACTACTAAATTGTACTGTACTGCATTTATAAACATAATAAATTATAATTTTAAAGTTACAATGTACTGTATTTGTAACCTAATGTACTCTATTTGTAACCTACTGTACTGTATTTGTAACCTAATGTATTGTATCTGTAACCTAATGTACTGTATTTGTAAAGCTATTTGTAAAACTATTCTTGTAAACCTAACTTACTGTACTTGTAAACAGCTCATTTAATGTACTTATTAGTACAAACATATAGTTGCACTAATATATATGATAATAAAGGGATGTGGATGTAGATGCAAATGGAAGGTTAAATGTTGAGCATCTGGAACAATTGATTCTAGAAGATATTAAAAATGGTAAGTTTAATGTTAGTCCCTCATTATTAGTAATTATTAGAATGTACTCATGCATCATGCATGTAATATTAAAAAATGCACGAGATAAAAATTCAAAATTAATTTCATTGATCATTTAGCAATTTTTACACCATTACATGTAAAAACAGTTTCTGGGCCGAGCGCTGCGTCTTGGATGGTCTTAGGGGCCAAGTGATGCATTTTTGGCACTCAACAATTTGTAGTATTTGCCTCTTAGTAATTTTGACATTTTACAGCAGTCGATGTTTTGTATCATCGAGGTTTTGTACTCACTCCCTTTCTGTAATAATTAAGTTTTAATTTTGGAAATAAAAGCAGAGAAAAAAGAAAATGTGAGAGACAATACAATCAAAACTATTTTCATCTTTTATCCTTCATTCATATATTTCGAGAATACTTTCCAAATGTGAAATTGTATATTCGAAAGCTGAATTCATAATTACGGTGCAAGAGACGTCAAAATCCATTGATCGAGTTTCCTACATAAATAAAATAATAATTACATATTTTCTTCTTTTTTGTAATTTTTAAACCTACAAAACTTTTGAAAATAAACGCGAGGGCGTTGCCGTCGGCTAAAAACCTGATTTTTCTTACATTAACTAACTAACATAACAGAGCCAAATATCAGACTGTTCTGTATTTCTTAAATATATTCCAATTCAATTTTTAGGGAAGACACCATTCTTTGTAAATTGTACAAGCGGATCTACAGTTATCGGATCCTTCGATCCTATAAACAAAATTGCAGATATTTGTGAAAAGTACAACCTTTGGCTTCATATAGATGTAAGTATATCACTTAGAGTATACTACAAACATGACGTACGTACGTCGCGTACGGTACGTCATATTGTATTGCAAAGATGTACTCTTATGTCAAACTACGGACAGGGAGACAAAAATCACAACAAACTACGGACAGGGAGACAAAAACACAACAAACTACGGACAGGGATACAAAATACAACAAACTACGGACAGGGATACAAAAACACAACAAACTACGGACAGGGAGACAAAAATACAACAAACTACGAACAGGGATACAAAAATACAACAAACTACGAACAGGGATACAAAAATACAACAAACTACGGACAGGGATATAAAAATACAACAAACTACGGACAGGGGGACAAAAATACAACAAACTGCGGACAGGGATACAAAAATACAACAAACTACGGACAGGGAGACAAAAATACAACAAACTACGGACCGGGATACAAAAATACAACAAACTACGGTCAGGGATACAAAAATACAACAAACTACGGAAATGGCTAAATATCTGTTTCAAAAGGAGAAATGCTGCTAAACACTTGGTTCTGAAAAAAGGGGGGCAATGTTAACGTTCCATATTAGATTTTCAACATTTTTAGAAATTCAATTATGACATTGTAAGACTTTCAAAATAATATGCATAAAATAAAATTTTTTTTAAGTGGAGTTCAAAGTCTCGAACCCCCCCTGCACTCTCCATATAAAATCCTTTGTGTAATTAAACGCTATTTCCAAGAAGGAAGATGGTTAAAAGGAAAGAAGTTTAAGTTGGTTGGGAAATGTTGGCCGAACTTTTTATGCAAATAAGTTGGAAACTTGAAGATTTCATAAATCCCTTTATTCCACCTTACTTTCATGTATTTTCTATACTTTCTTACCATCTTAAAATTTCCTCCCTTATCATCCTTTCCTTTCTTCACATCCTTTCCTCCCTTCACATCCTTTCCTCTCTTCACATCCTTTCCTTCCTTCACGTTCTTTCCTTCCTTTCCTTCCTTCACATCCTTTCCTTTCTTCACATCCTTTCCTTTCTTCACATCCTTTCCTCCCTTCACATCCTTTCCTCCCTTATCATCCTTTCCTTCCTTCACATCCATTCCTTCCTTAACATCCTTACCTTCCTTCACATTCTTTCCTCACTTCACATCCTTTCCTCCCTTTACATCCTTTCCTTCCTTCACGTTCTTTCCTTCCTTTCCTTCCTTCACATCCTTTCCTTTCTTCACATCCTTTCCTCCCTTCACATCCTTTCCTTTCTTTACATCCATTCCTCCCTTATCATCTTTTCCTCCCTTCACATCCATTCCTTCCTTTACATCCTTTCCTCCCTTCACATCCTTTCCTTCCTTTACATCCTTTCTTTCCTTCACATTCTTTCCTTTCTTCGCATCCTTTTCTTCCTTCACATCCTTTCCTTTCTTCAGATCCTTTCCTCCCTTCACATTCTTTCCTTCCTTCACATCCTTTCCTCCCTTCACATCCTTTCCTTTCTTCACATCCTTTCCTTCCTTCACATTCTTTCCTCTCTTCACATCCTTTCCTCCCTTCACATCCTTTCCTTCCTTCAAATTCTTTCCTCTCTTCCCGTCCTTTCTTCTCTTCACATTCTTTCCTCTCTTCAAATCCTTTCCTCTATTCACATCCTTTCCTCTCTTTAAATCCTTTCCTCTCTTCACATCCTTTCCTTCCCATCCTTTCCTTTCTTCACATTCTTTCCTCTCTTCACATCCTTTCCTCTCTTTACATCCTTTCCTTCCCATCCTTTCCTTTCTTCACATTCTTTCCTCTCTTCACATCCTTCCCTCTATTCACATCCTTTCCTTCCTTCACATTCTTTCCTCTCTTCACATCCTTTCCGCTCTTTACATCCTTTCCTCCCTTCACATCCTTTCCTTCCTTCAAATTCTTTCCTCTCTTTCCGTCCTTTCTTCTCTTGAACTTCCATTAAAAAAGGGTCACGCTTGATTCACACGTTACACTTCAAATCTTTAACTTTGTCTGCACCAAAATCTCATTTGTTTTGAGAGTCATAGAAACTACTCGTGTACAGTCCCTTTAATTCAGGGAGCTTATGGTGGAGGTTTACTGATGAGTAGACAGCATAGAGTTGGTAGATTTGATGGAGTAGAGAGAGCTAACTCTTTAACATGGAATCCACATAAGGTTAGATCAATAAAGCTATGGAATAGGAAGACGACTTATACACTCAAGCCATAATATCAAATAGTCCGATTGATAGTAAACAAAACAGTTTTCCAGTTTACAAAGACAAATTTTTATTTACTGGTAAAACTATTTACTTCACATCATGATTACATTGTACAGTGTATTCAGTGAACACACAAGATTGATTTAATGTCGTCCTTTTATTCCACAGTTTTATTGATATTATCATCAGCGTTGTTTTGAACATTCTTTTAGTCCTTGCTTTTTGTTTTGTTATAAATTACTAGCTGATGTGCCGATAAACAATTTTGAATTTTAAAATAAAATCGATTTTTGAAAGAAAAAAAATTGAATTGTATTATATATTATAGCCCATGTGACCCTAGAGTGCCCATGGGTTTTCTCAAAAAGTATCCGTCAATATTATCCAGCCGTTTGGTCAGCTATAGCTAACATATAAATGTATATATATATATATATATATGGTGTCCATACTATTTATCGTTTAATAAGCAATATTATCCAGCCGTTTGGTCAGCTATAGCTAACATATAAATGTATATATATATATGGTGCCCATACTATTTATCGTTTAATAAGCAAGTTTGTATTTGTAATTATTATTTAAAATGCCATTTTAGACTGATGATGATAAATTGCAATGCAGGATAGATTTTAAGCTTTGTATTTAAACTTTTTACCAACAATGTAAATCATTTATTTGTTATGTATAAATAGATAAATTTTACGGATAGATAAACTAAAAACCCCAGTTAGTTTACAAATAAATATGTTTACAGTTGCTGGGAAAATAAAAAAACCCCAGTTAGTTTACAAATAAATATGTTTACAGTTGCTGGGAAAATAAAAAAAACCCCAGTTAGTTTACAAATAAATATGTCTACAGTTGCTGGGAAAATAAAAAAACTTTAATTTAGTTTTCTCTCAGAAACGTCAGTATACTTTTTTGTATAGAAATATATATTGTGTGTATTAAAAAAATAATTAAGTAATATTTAAAATACATAATATTTATAATATGAAATAATATTATTAACAATTAATCTCTCTTGTTGGTAGTTTCTGGAATTCAAAATAAAAATAAAATTAACTTAAAACGAACTCATGAGTTTAGTTTATATTTCTTTCAGAAACTGCAGAACACTTTTTTCTAAAGAACTTATTGCGCGTATCTGGTATACTTTATTATGCATCGAAATATTCATTTTTACAAAAAGACAAAAAATATTTTTAGTTGCTGCATGGGAGAATAAAAAACTAAAAGCTTTAGTCTAATTTACATTCCTCTGAAAGATTGCAATACACTTTTTATAAACAAATATATATTGGCTGTCTTTCAGTGAATAATGTACCTAGATAATAATTTTGTTCCTTTAAAAAAATCCATTTTTTTAGCTCCTCGGTGTTCCTCTACAGTGCTCTACTCTTCATTTAAAAGTTAGTTCAATTTCATACAAACTGAACAATGAGATTTGGACTAATAAAAACTTTTTCTGTCATTTTAATGGAAGATAAAATATATCAAAATATAGAAAAGAAATTTCTTTTTACCCCCCTTAAAAAAATGGAAAGTTACTTTTTCCTATAAACACCATTATGAAATGTTCACTTGAGTCACAAGCCAGATATAGATTAAGTGTAAAAAGAAAACGGATGGGTTAGTTGAACAAATGTTTAGTAAATTATGATAAAAAATCAAGATTACCTCAAAAAGTTGAAGCACTAAGAAACTGAATTACTTCTGTCAAGAAACTGGAGTGCACATGTGCATACTACTGAACATTTTGAATTCAAATGACGTCACGTATTTTTTTAATCAAGAGTTTTGCACAATTACAATTGTCTATGCATATCAAATATGACAGCCCTGATCTGACAATATGATCTGAATTGGATCGAACTTACCAATTCTTGAAATTATATCTGTATGAAGATCTAACCCTTTATTTTAGTGTACAATATCTAGGAGAAGGGTATACTTAACGACTGTAACACAATGAAAGCGATGTATCTGTTCCAGCAAGATAAACATTATGATGTTAGCTACGATACAGGGGATAAGGTAAATTATACTTATTATCGTAATAACAATACAAATATAAAATTATAATTTAAATAATAGTAATTATAGCAATACAATAATAATATTAATCATCATAATAATCCTGCCATATCGTGACATGAATATTTTTTTCAAACTTTAGAATCTTTTTCTCGAATTTTCTTTAGTTTTGCAAAGAAATCCTTTAATCATCACGAGGTTTCCTAGTGGAGTATAAGGGCTCAGGAACGGAGGTTGAAAGAGATTGAGAAGTTTGGAGAAAATAACAAAATAGATGGATAGATAGATAGATAGATAGATAGATAGATAGAAGGATATATTGATAGAAAGATAGATAGATAGAAGCATGTAAAATTATAAAGATAGATAAATAGATATTATTATCATTATAAGTACTACACGCACCCCTGCCCCTTTAGTAAAAGTAAATTCAACCTAAAGTCTGACCGCGTCAACCTTGTTGCACCGACGAGTCCTATTAAGTTTCTGCTTTATTTACCCAATGTCCGGGTGATACAGTACAAACTGGAACCGGAAAGGTTGACCCGGCTCGGAAATTCAAATGTACCACGGCTGCCCGTGACTATTATTAGAAGTATTATAGTTATAGTTTTAGGATAATTATTATTACTCAAAGTAACCTAATAGTATTAATACTACTAGGCTTTTATGATGCTTCGTTCTCTTTTTCTGGAATAACTTCAAGCTTTGAATGTTACTTTTTGGGCCTAATCGGTCCTGCTCTTATGACGTTTATTGGACACAAACAGACAGACGAACACAAAAACAAACCAAAACGTAAATAAATAAATATTATATCCTTTATATTCCCCTGTAGGTTATCCAGTGTGGGCGGCACAATGATATATTCAAGTTTTGGCTCAGCTGGAGGAGTAAAGGATCTCAAGGAAATCAATTAATCAAACAATCAATCATTCAATCAATTGATTATTCAAAAGCGAGAAATTTTTTAAATTGAACGATAAAAACGTCAATCAGAGCAGCATCATTGAAAAAAATTTTCGTTGAAGTGCTTACTTACAGAATTAATTATAATCATTTAATCAATCATTCCAACAGTAACAAAACAATCGATCAATCAATAAAACGAATCAAAAAATGTATTACAAATCATAATCAAACTATTTTATATTACTACTATTACTACCCTACATAATAAAAAAATTAATTGTTTTTTGAAATTTATCATTTAAAACACGGAAAGCAAGAAATATTTGAAAAGGAATTGAGTCTTTGCCACAAACTCTGATTTTCTAATCACTATATCTTTGGAACCAAATGTTGTAGACCTTAGATATTTCAAACTATGAATTCTGTTAAATCAGTTAATCTGAGTTTGAAATATCAAAGGTTTACACCATCGGGTTCTAAAGATATTGGGATTTAAATATTTGATTTTGTTACAAAGACTCAATTCCTTTACTTGAGATGAAAACTTTAGAATTGTTGATATTAAGATCAATGCTTGATATCTTCTTTTGTTAATCTCAAGATTAATTTAATCGTAATAGTTTGTATCCAAAAAAGTGAATAAAATTAAACCATTATACAGAATCCCAAACAGCCAATCAGAAGCCGGGAAATTCGAAATTTCACCTGCCATTAATATTTAATTAGAGAATTCTCATCTCTCGGAATATGGTAGAATCCAAAAAGAGAGAAATGGAGTTGATGAAGCCAGATATTAAAAGTGTCCACATTGAATATTGAGAATAAACGATCAGGATTAAGGGTAGCCAATTCTAAAGTTCACAGCTCTGGAAAGATATAAATGATGATGATTTTATCAGGGTTTGAGTTTCAAATGGACAGGATTATGGAGCTTACACAATATCAGGTCAGATTTTTGCAAGAAACAATAAAACTCATCTTTTTTTATGTAAACCTAGCAAAAGCTGAAAGGCTGAAAAGCAAAAAGTGCAAGCAAAAAGAATTTGAACAGTCATTCAAAAAAAATGTTATTTAAGCTCTGAAGTCCTTTAGTTGTTAATAACCCTGTAAAATGGCAGAACTATACATAAGCCTTCTACAAAAAATAAAAAATTATTTCACCAAAAAGCTCAATCGTGGTGCACGGCGCACCACAATTTCTTAAATTCAGATCGTCTTTGTTTAGATGCGTCGAATGCGCGAGATGCCAGAGAAGTTTATGTTCATTCACCAGGAACCAGAGATGGTCAACGTCTGCTTCTGGTACAGAACTTGGTTGGAGGAGGGGGGGAGGGAGGCGAAGCGGTAGAAGGCGAGGGAGGGCGAGAAGGAATGCGGAGAATTAGAGGGGAGAGAGCATGGAAGCGGAAAATGGGGCCTGGAGGGAGAAATGAGAAAGAAGGGGAAGGGAGGGAGCACTAGAAGGATAGTGAAGAAAGGATTAAGATTGTTCGAGGTTAGGAATTTAAGGATGGAAAAGGNGTAAACAACGAAACAAGAGGGGGGAAAGAAGAGAATTTAAAAAATGTGATAATCCTGATGAAAAGATGTTTCAGGTATATTCCAGAACGCCTGAGAGAACAGGAACATTCACAGGAGAGGGAACGGGAACTAGGACAGGTAAGGACACAGGAACTTAAGGAAAGGTCTGGGGACAGGAACTAGGAGAGGCAAGGAATTAGGAACTAGAAGAGGTACGGAAACAGGAACTAGAAGAGGTAAGGAAACAGGAACTAGGAAAGGTATGGAAACAGGAACTAGGAGAGGTAAGGCAGGAAATATGAGTTAGGAACTTAGGAGAGATAAGGAAACTGGAACTAGGAGAGGTATGGGAACAGGAACTAGGAGAGGTAAGGCAGGAAATATGAGTTAGGAACTTAGGAGAGATAAGGAAACTGGAACTAGGAGAGGTATGGGAACAGGAACTAGGAGAGGTAAGGCAGGAAATATGAGTTAGGAACTTAGGAGAGATAAGGAAACTGGAACTAGAAGAGGTATGGGAACAGAAACTGAAAGAGAAAGCATATTCTGAATCGGATATTAAACACAAGTTTCAAATTGTTGAGAATCTCTGAATTGATATCTTAAACCTTCTTAGAAACTTGTTAAACCTCAACAAATACAAAGTTAAAGTCAAGTTGGAAAAGAAATAAGATTACACAAAGACAATTTCGATAAAATGATATTTTAAAATCAGATCAAGAGTCGAGATACATTACAAATGATATCTATAGTCAAATTATTAGTGTTGTTAACAACTTTTCATTGCAAGGTACGTTTATGTTTTAGGATAACAAATTTAAACATGATCATTTAAATGCCAAAATAGTTTTGGTACGTATAAAAAAAAATCAGAGAAACATATTTTGTAATAAATTTTTTTCTTCAAAATTAGTTTGAAACTCTTTACGCTGTTCTCATCAAAAATTTAAAAATTCTGTTAACAAGTAAAAGAGATAACAAAAAATCCGCCAAAAATTATTTGTGCAAATCTGCAACAAATCTTTATTGATAAAATATCAAAAATGTATTTACAGAGCTGAAAACTTTAGAATGGGATATCCTTAATCCCGATCTGTTGACTTATCTGGAGATTAAATTCATGAGGAAAACAAGCAATATTTAATCTGGAGATTAAGAAAAAGAGTGGATTAAGCATTAATCCCGATATCCACCATTCTAAAGTTCCCAGCTCTGAGCTGAAAACTTTAGAATGGTGGATATCGGGATTAAGGCTTAATCCACTCTTTTTCTTAATCTGCAGATTAAATATTGCTTGTTCTCCACTCATTTTTAATCCCCAGATTAATTATCCGATCAGGATTAAGGATATCCCATTCAAAAGTTCCCATCTCTGTTTACAATTTTTTCCTATTTTGAATTATGTTTAGAAAAACGATATTGTTCGTAGAGATAGTTTCATTTTACCATCTATATATGATTCGTTAAGAATTCGAGGAGATTTTTTCGTGTCCCATGTTTATTTTTAGATTTTCTAACACTTTTAAGATATATTAAAATAAAAAATTTACAACCGATTGTAAAATTTTTTATAATTGTTTTGCGGATTATGAGTTTTTCTGTATATCAAAAAAAATATCTTAATTTTGTTCACTTTTCTCCATATTTTTCCATCTAAGACATGATTTTGTAGTGCACTACATGTTAATTGTAAAACTACGCTTTTCCCGTTTTTTTAAAACAAATTCAAAGCCAATTGAAATAATGCTACAACTTTTTAAAGACATTTTTTGGTCAAGACAATAGTGGAGTTTGTAATACAAACAATCAAAGGAAAAATATACAGGACAACATTTGCAAGGACAATTTAGATATAAAGACACAACCGATTAAGGACGATTGTGATTTGGAAACATTTCAAGACAATTTCATGTTCAATCATGCAACATTTTGACATTTGACATTTCTGGGACCGAATTTTTTAAATTTTATCTACCGATTCAAATCCTTTCATTATCTTTGTAACTTTGAATCGGTGGTTAAAATTTGAACCGACGGTATAAGTAATTCAGCTCGACGTTGCTCAAATTTATTATATACTGTCCCTGTTTAGATAACTGCTAAACTGAAATCTAGAATGATGTACAGTGGTAACCTAATGGTAGGATACCAACCTCTAGACGATAAACCTAACTTTTTCAGGTAATCAATATTCATCTATTGAGCATATCCTCATATTTTGGGGGTCAACCCACTCTACACTAAATCCCACTATTTCTTCAGTCAAAGTACTTCAGTTCACACCGTAAGCTTAGTTGAGGATCTAGGATGAGACTTCAGAGACGACTTAAAGTGTATAGTTTATGCAGCCTTCCTTGCAAATATGGCTATGCCCGATTCCCACGGTACCCTTGAACTCCTTGAACCCTTTATTAGATCATTAATGTGGTAGATATTGTCGTTTGCAGTCGAAATGCACAAGACACTTTTATTAGAAACCACAATTGAAAATTATCATTTTTTAAATTTACATTTGACAAACATATTATTTATGCTCAGGTCAAACTCAACGAAGCAAACACGGCTTTTTAAAGTTCTGTTAAAAGAAAAGATAGCTAAATAGATAAAATGAGAACCAGAAAACTGTTTAAAGCATTATTTTTGTATTTGATGCTTTTACAAAGTCAGTAATTTTTCCAGTATCTTATTAAATTAGTTATTAAGAGAAATGGGTCTGTTTAAACTGCCCAATTTCAGTGTCTCATGTTGATTGGCCTTTTTAAAGTCATAAATCGAGCCTGAAAGTCTTCATCCTAGTCCAGATTTTTCTGGTTATCACCATTATAAAAACAAAAAAAGAAAAATGAACGTTGCGAATTGATTACTTCATTTCCTTTCCTATCTCAATTATCTTCAAAAATTCCCATTTTTTTTACAAGTTTTTAAATTTAGGTCGATTATTTCCAACCAGGCCTGTCAGGAGGAGGATATAGATTTTATGCTTGAAGAGATCGATCGCCTAGGAATTGATCTGTAAACAGATAAAGATGACCGCCTAGGAATTGATCTGTAAACAAGGAAAACAAGATGACTGCCTATTGGAATTGATCTGTAAACAACGAAACAAGATGGCCGTCTAGGAATGATCTGCTAACAGAAAAAACCAAGATAGCTCTCTAGGAATTGATCTGTAAACAGATAGAACAAGACGGTCCCCTAGAAATGGATCTATAAACAGAAAAACCAAGATGGCCGTCTAGGAATTGATCTGTAAGTAGAAAAAAAAAACAAGATCACCGTCTATAATCCTATACCTAAGCAACCTGATAATCTAAACCTTTAATATTTTACAATAATTTGATCTGTCAGAAAGCCTAGTTTGGGATATTAAAGGTTACGCCATCAGATTGTAAAGGTTTGTGAAATGTGTTCAGTTCCTTAATCTAATAACTTTAATAGTGTTGAACTTGTGCTAGTATTTATCTTAGTTTAATCTCATTGTAGTCTTGAAGTTTAAAACTTGTAGTAATGGTAGTGATATATTTTAGTTTTCTAAATAAAAGGTGAAGGTATCTGAATTTGATCTTATTATTTAGAGATATTATTTTGTAATATCAAGTAACAATCAATTTAAATCCACAACGGTACCTACAGGGTGTCCCACGAAACATGACAGTATGCAGGACGACTTGAATGTCGTCTTGATTTTTGATATAATTTG